TTCTCAAATCCAAAAGCAGTCCGAGGTAGAGTATTGGGAATGTCGACAGATTCAAGTGGCTGGTACGTGAGGATAGAGGCAACCGGAGAAATCGTGCAATCTGCAAATGTCGAAGTTGCTTGACACCTATCACCTTCCTTGCCTCTTGAAAGTAAAGAAGCGAATCCGAGCGTCACACGTATCGTCCTGCGAATTCCCCCACGAAGAGAGATTGGGCTTAGTGAAAGAGAGAACGTCTCAAATCTACTGTGTGGTCCGAGTAAGTTTGAAAAACTCGAGAAAGTAACAGTGACCAACTGGCTGTGTGATTCAGTCGAGGAAGAGCCTGTTACGAAAAAGCGAGACGAGATTACGCCAACTCTACTGTGTGATACAAGTAAGTCTGAAGACTTAGAGCGTGTACCATTTACCAACCGGCTGTGTGATCCAGTTGAAGAGCAGCCTGAGGACAACTGCTGTACGAGTACCGTCTGTGTGGATACTGTACTTAGTACAAATGGTGCGTACTGGCTGTGTGAACCAGAAACTGTTACCAACTGGTGGTGTGAACCAGACATGAAACCGAAATCGACAGACCATCAAATCTCAGCAGCGTATATTTTTGCTATGTCGCCCTCGTCATATGGCGATGAACCAGAGAATATGGCAGAAATACTGCAGCGCCCCAACAAAGACAAATGGTTGGAAGCGCTGCAAGCTGAAGGAAAGAATTTGATTGGCAAAGATACCTTCGTGGAATGTCAGCTACCCCAAGACCGCAAAGCGATTGATTCTAGACTCGTTTGCAAGGTAAAGAGAGATGAGAACGGAGATATCGTCAAGTACAAGGTGCGATTAGTTGCAAAAGGCTATTCACAAATACCCAGCATAGATTTTGACGAAACACATGCCCCTGCCTCTCGCCTCACCTCTCTCCGTGTGTTCTTATCAATTGCCGCGTCGAGAGATTACCACGTCTTGCAAGCAGACGTTGAAGGTGCCTATCTCAATGGCGAAATCGACAAAGAAATATATATGCACCTGCCTAGGGGAATGGTGTACTCTGATCGAAACTCGAACTGTGTGAAGCTACTCAAATCTATCTATCGTCTCCGCCAAAGTGGTAGAACTTGGTGGAAAGCCCTTGCGACACACTTGGAAGAATTTGGTTTACGCGCGTGTCCATACGACGAAGGGGTATACGCTCTCAGGGATGACAGTGATTCTGTCATTGCTATGGTGTTGACATATGTTGACGATATACTTGTTGCTGCGCCCGATATCAAAGTCGCGAACAAGATACTCGATCACCTCGCTGAGAAGTGGATAATTACGCGTATGGGAGAAGCGCGACATATTTTAGGGATGAAAATCGAGAGAGATCGAAGCAGGAAAACAATAGTATGTTTCAAATATCAAAAAATCGCGGGTGATTTTTCATCTCGGACAATTATTTGCTTCCGTCAGGCGTTTTTGGCTGGGACAAAAACGTCGCGGAGGAAAAAAAACAGTTTGCAGGTTTCTGGCCAAAGTGATTTTTTCGTCCGCGATGTTTTTGCTCCAGCCAAAAACGCCTGACAGAAGCAAATAATTGTCCGAGATGAAAAATCACCCACGGTGATTTTTTGATATTTGAAACATAATAAAGCTGTCTCAACCAGCCTATATCGATCATATTCATGAGCGCTTCACAAATATTGTAGCGTGACCGCCACATGGCATCCACCAACGCCACACTCTCGGCGCTACGGCGATACCTTCTCCTCCGCTTCCATCCATAGAAACTGATGCATGCTGGAGACCCAGGAGTTTCCTCTACCGCTCTTACCCTATTGAGGAACCTCCTGGCTATCCTTATCCTATCCTTCTACTTCCTTGGCTACGCCTCGTACCGCTCGCACACCGGTCACTACACTCGCCCAAGCCGACCACGAAGAGAGACGAGACGCTCCGGACTCGACCCCGACTTATTAGGCCATAGTTTGTGCTCTGTCTCCGGACACCGCCACAAATCTCCCCGATATACAAAATATGCGCCATCTCCCCAATATTCCCCTACCAATCAATGCGACTGTCCCCCTTGTCAATCCTCCCGCTGAGAGACACCTATATCAACCCATTCTCGGGACGGCTCTCATGCTTGCCAAAAGCACTCTGGGAGTGGTCGAAACCTGTCCCACAGCGAGCAACGCTCGGAGCAGAAACAATGCCGCTTCGACAAGTCCGTCAATCTGTCCGTGCCCTCCTACCGTCCCATCGAGCCCCAGAACCCTTCACGCCCTAATCAGGTCATGGTAAGATACGAGACGTAGAGGGTAAAGGTGCAGACTCCGTTGGCTGGGTCCAGTGCAGATATCTCTCGCTCCCAGCTCCCTGTGGTACCTGCTTTCGCATTCACCATCTACAACTCCCAAGGCCGCTCCCTCAGCTAGACCGTGATCTCTGTGACTTGGTCTCGTGTACCAGCAGCCGAGAGGTCTACGTGATACTGTCTCGAGTACGAAGCATCGAAGGACTCATCATCGTGATACCCCTCAGACGTCGCGAGCTGATGCAACAGCACGCCCCCCCAGAAATCCGGGACGAGCTGAAGCGTCTTGAGACAGAGACGAAGAAGACGGAAATGATCATCAAGGATGAGTGTGCATGGTTCCCGATGGATATGTATCTGGAGTACGAGTAAATCCTTCCCATACCATACTATCTTTGCTACTGTTATGATAACTGATGCTCTTCTACGGCACAATAGGAGTGCGTGAGCACACAGAAACTGATAAGTGGTTAGATAGAACATGCTCTTCCGCTTCCGGCTCAGGCGACATTTCCGGGGGACCGGAGCCGTTGAGGAAGAGCAGCCGCTCCAGGAAGGGGAAGGAGAACGAGAATGGGGATTTTGAAGGATAGATGCTTATAGAATCAAATGATAATAAGGTAAGGTGCATACCATGAATCTGCCATCCGCTTGACTTTTTTGCGTTACGGGTCCCGCCGCTCGTCGGCCAACACCCTGACATGTATATTAGGTCGGGGGAGTGATGCCAGCGTTGGGGGAGCGTTACGAGTGTTATGAGTGTTACAAGTGTTACGCGCGCGGCGCAGGGGGAGTATTGGAATCTGTGTGATTAGATGCGCCGCCCGCTTTAGAGATTAGTAGTGGGCGGACCATCATGTGGCGGGCTCCACCCGCCGCATGACGGCTAAGGTCACCGTTGGCTGTGTAGTTCATCTACACCCAACCGTCCAACACCTAGAGCCGCTATCTACCCTTCACTGGGCTCCAGAGACACAATACAACTACACCGACACCACCATATCTCAACACTCTCCACCTCATATCATCCCCAAACCGACGGTCAAACGGAGATCGTCAACCAGTGGCTCGAGCAGTATCTTCGGGTCTATTGCACGTTCGACCAGTCTGACTGGGCTACTCTACTCTACCACGCGGAACTGTGCTACAACTCTACCCACCACCGCTCCACTGGCGTTCCTCCCTATCGCGCCATCACTGGTGTTGACCTTCGCACCTCACCTATCGATGATATCCCTCCCCTACCCCCACCTCCCGGGACTGCACCTCTGGCTATCGATCGCGTATGCGAAATTACCGAGCTACGTACCTTCCTACGCGAGCAGATCGAGCAAGCGCAGGCCGCCCAAGCTCATTACTACAACCAACGGCGTCGAGATCACGAGTTCTCTGTCGGAGATCAGGTGAAGTTAGACACCAAAAACATTCGCTCCTTCCGCCCTTCAAAGAAGCTTGACAACCGTTACCTGGGCCCCTTGGTCATCACCGAGGTAATTAACCGTAACGCGTATAGTCTCCAGCTCCCTTCTACTTTTTCTCGTATCCACAACGTTTTTCCTATTTCCCTTTTGTCGCCTTGGGGCGACGCCGACGTTCACTCATCACAGAACCCACAACCATTCATCCCTATCCCAAACAACCCACTCCAAGTCGAATCTATTCTCAAAACCCGCACCCACCAAGACTCCACCCAATATCTCATCAAGTGGCTTAACCGACCTGAGTCCGATAACTCATGGGAGGACGAGTCAGCACTTCACTCAGACCCCGCCTGGGCGAGACTCAAGAACCAATTCAACAACTTCCTCCACCAACCACACACAGCTGAGAAGGAGAAGCGTCCGCGAGGCTGGAAGGGTTGGGTGTTAGCGTCCGAGGAAGAGTTGAAGGAGTCAAGGGAGCAGGCACAGTACGACGGTCCGACCTCCAAGTTCGGTCGCCCTCTGCGTGCGTCGAAGAGAACGGAGTAGATTTCAAAGTTTTTCATGGACTGCCCGGTGTAGTACCATTTCCGGACAGTTACCTTTGCTTACATATACCACTTTTTCTTTCAGGACCAACTCTCAAGACCCGTCTACAACTCTCTCGAGCCCGCCGCTTCCCATGCCTACCTGTTCAGCCTTCGCCATTCGCTTGTCAATCCCCAACGCCTTTCTGTTACCACCCACATTCCATCCCACGATACAAACCAGTTCCGAGTCTGGGGCCCTCCACAACACCCCGCGGCCTGGTCACTGTTATCATCCAACTCGCTCTTTCCGCCCAAAGATCTGCCCTTAACCCGGCAGCCGTTCAGAGTGTTTCTTCCCCACCTCTTCGTATCCTTTTCCTCATCGATGTATTCTCGTATATTCCTTCTTACCTATAACCATCCTCTCACCACCAGCCTATTCCAGGTCGACATCTAGCGCCCCTAGCTAGATCCATCGCGTTACCGCCCCTAGGTCACGCCATCCCAACCTCCTACACTCGTCGACGCGTTCAGCTTTGCTTCTTTATGTAATCAACGGACTTGATAGCGTCGAAAGCTCGAGCGCGGTCATGGCATTGTCATTACAGAGGTCAAGGAATGCCTGTCATCATGAGAGTCTGCTATTGCTTTTGTTCAAATTAGTCTAATGATATATGCATTATTGCATCTGCTACTTATTACATGATCGTCATAAAGCAATTGACTTGTGGGATTTTGTATATTTCTTTGCCTGATCAACTATGCCTTACCAAAGCCCCCTGTCTCGGTAATTGCAAACTGCAAACGTTCTCGCAATTGCTCATATGATGTATATGTTGGCAACAGAAGCAGATTGAAACATGTGCTCGCTTGAGGGAGTCCACCTTCTTTCCCATACAGCTGGCCCGCCTGTCAGTCCTCTGACTTGCACAATCACTAATGAATACGCACTTTCTGGATCTGGAATGGCTGTGTACCAGAGCTTCCTTGTAGCTGCGCAAATCCACCAAGAGGAACTCGTGATGATGATGTCACAAACATCAAGAAGCGTGATCTTTCCTCCTGCGAGAATATTCGGAGGGCGCGCCAGAACCAGGATATCTCCGGATCTGTTGACTTCCACCCACTCAACCTGTTGATCTCAGCGTCAGTACGAGTACAATTGAACAATAATAGAGGATAATAACTCACTGGGTAGCATTCTTGAGCTCATCAACATCCACCGTTGTTATTCCAGAGATGAGGACTGTATCACCTTTGTCAGCTCTGATACAAAGCTAGTAAAGAATTGCGACTTACGCTCAAGCTGGTCGGGCTCAAATATCTGGATAAGCTCATGAGGGATGATGCTTTCAGTTGTAGTCAGCTTTTGCAAACACAGGTAACCAAAAGGATATCGCTCACTCATAGAACCCTTCAAGGAAAGCCTTTATTTGATCGCGTATAGAGTTGTCCAGACGGTATGAAACAACAAGTCGCACATATTCCTCTTTGTTCTCTTCAGTGACAGGAATATTGGCGCCATCAGGCTTGAGCTCCACTGTCTTCTTTTCACCAAATTGATCATCCTCGGTAGTGAACTCTTGCTGTTGTAGATGTCAGTATCAAGATCACAGCTTCGTATAGTCAACCCTTACGTCAATGATGCCGGTGATGTCGTTGTTCAGCATCCATTGCAGTGATTTGTGGTACCTTATAAACAATTAGCAGTGATACAAAAATTGTTGAGTGTCACAAACTCAGGATCAATGCTCTCCAGGTCACGCATGTCCACTGTTCTGCCCAAAATCTGTTTGTAGAATGCGCGGTTGAAGTAAGCATCCAGGAGGCGCCCACTGCAATCTTGTCAGAATATGCCCGGTTTGCAAGTGGTACACGTACTCATAAACCGCTTTTCTGTGTGCAACAGTCAGCACAAGTCAATTACAAGCCCGACCATTGAGAATTAACTTACCCTATGACTCGTCCAACAAACTTGAAGTATGATAGGTGAACATCGTTACTAACAGAATTTGTCAAAGGGGTCCATGGCCGAGTTTCTTGGGTATGGAACTTACATCCAAGACATTTTGTTTGGCTGATATGTCTGCTGATCTGCAGCGCATGGCTCGAACAGGGCTTGTGTTCCATAAATTAGCCGAACAAGATCGATCCGTTGAGACACTTACCAAAGTTTGGATCGAAGATCTGCTGCGCCAGCACACTGTACCACTCTCGTGTGACGCCACCTGCATCGACACCATCTTCCTGACGGAATTTGACACTCAACTTTCCGTACTTGAGCTCCTCCCCGCTCCACCTTTGCAAAGCCGAGAAAGAGTCCTCGAAAACATATTGACGTCGGATGTTGAGATGAAGAGGACCGGGGGGGACAATCGACGACTTCTTTTTCTTGAGCTTTTGGAAAAACCAGGTGCGTTTGTTGTCAAATTCGAGCACGCGAGGGTTGCGTATGAGAAGGGAAAATGAGCCACTCAGAAGTGATGGGTTGTTGCGAACGATGGTGTTGAGGACTTTTCGATGAGCAGTCGTGAAAGTCACAAAAAAGTCTGCGCTTTCTGTTGATGACGGCGGAGTAGACGATGATCTAGTGTCGCGAGGCAAGTGACTCTTGTACTTTGATATTACCATCAAAGCCTCAACAAGCGGCAAAAGAACAGTTGCAAGTTGCTCGGTGTTACCGCGAGCCTCGACCATCGACAAGCACCGACCCAACTGCTCCCAGAGTTCTCCGAAATCGAAAGTGCCGAAGATTTGAGTGACAGCTTGTTCCTCACTGGTCATCTGCTCAGAGGGCGGGTCAGGATCAACCTTGTTGAGATGGAGATAGTCGATGGTCTTTAGCAGACGGAGAAGTTGGGCTTGAGCAGAGGATGGGGGCGAGAAGCTGATGAGCGTCAAAGGCCCGACATCCGCCTCAACCTCTAATGCGTTCACAAGTTCTTGGAGCTGCTCGTTGGCAAGATGCCCGAGGTCACGACAACGCAAGCAGAGCTCTTGTAGGATCACATCTTTCCCTTCAGGAAGATTGGAGAGATTCTGCATGGCACCCAGCGTCTGGCTGAAAGTGCGGCTTGTACAATCGCCAGATGTGAGACAATTGACAATGAGGCGAAGGACAGGCGCAGGAATTGAGGGGATTCCCTCGCCATGAGGCAACGTCTTTGTTGGTTCAACAGCACTCTGGACCGCTGTAATCCTGGCAGCGTCGTTCGCAGAAGCAGACGAATCGCCGCCAGCTGCTAGGGCAGATTTCGCTTGGTCACCATCGGCCTTGCGCTCCGCCAAGGGCTTAGTGACGGTCAACAAAAGAGCCGTGACAGTGTCCATCAATCCGGGTGTTTTGGCAAGCACTGGACGATCAAGCAGGCCAAGTAAAATGACGATCGGGAACTTTGTTTGAGGCAGAGATTTCTCCTTCCCTTTACTTTTCTTCGACGAATGCTTTCGAAGGCCTGCAGTTTGCTCGTGCTCGGAAAGGAAGTAAGAGGCCGCATGAGCGTTCGAGGTCACGATGTAGGCGAGAGCTTCGAAACATCGTTGAGTGATGAAGGTCGGTACATGTTCGGCTTGCAGATGGTTGAACAGGCTCGACGGTATCACTGCGGCGGGTGATTCGGCGGCCTTTCCCTTGGGAGTTGCCTTGGGAGTAGACGTGCCCCGTAGAGACATTTGCTGAAAACTCCGATCAACAGCGGGCAGATCACCTGAGCCGTCATGGACGACCGAAATCAACAAGTCCAAAAGGTCATTGCGAGTGTTGCTGTTCTCGCAAAGGTTGACAAGAACCTTGAATAGAGACGACTTCTTCAAAGCATGGGGGAAGAACAACAATCTGACAAGGACGGCAATGCCAGACTTTTCCAGAAGCTGTAAAGCTTCGCGATGTCGTCCCTTCGCTCCATCAGGTCTTTCAGCTTTGATGGCAGTTCCCGATCCTTCGCCTTGGGTGCCTAGGACACCTCGCAACTGATTCGCGATGGAAGAGAGGAAAGTTCTCGAAGGGCCGCTCGCCAGGGGTGGCTGGGGGCGATTGCGGCGTTCGCTTTCCATTGCTTCTTGCATGATGACTTCCGCTCGGATATCAGGGGGTAGCGCTTCAAGGAACTCGGAATTGATTTGAGAGACCGGTTCGGGGATATTGGCGCTTGCAGCGGGGCGTTGGTGTTGTCTCTGCTCGCGCAGATGTTGTTCCACGACATCCGCCCGCATATCATCCGGGAGGGCTTGTAGGAATTCAAGATCGATACCAGCATCGGTGATATCGACCTCACGGCCGTGTATCGAGATCAGGGTCCGTGGACCGTCGACGTCGACGTTCTCACTCCTCTCAACATCGTCTGCCGCCTGCCCAGAAGTGTTGTCTTCGGTGTCGCCTTTATACAAATTAGATTTCTTCAGATTCAATATGCTCTGAACTTACTCATTTCAACGTCTCCTTCACTGATTGACATGTGTGGAGCAGAATCCCCGCCTTCAACGATTTCGGCCGTCTCATCGCCATCTTCCGTTTCTTCCGTGGATTCGGTGGCTTCAAGGACGGTGGGCGCATTTGTTGTGGTAGCCTCGTCCGCTTTTCGGAGTTCCTCAGCTCTGCGACGAGCTTCAGGTAGCAGCCGGTTGATAAGATGAAGGACAAGACGGCTAGTCCCTTCAGTGCGAGATATAGGTGCCAAGTTGAGCTCCTCGCCCCATCGTTGTAAGGTGGTCATTGGAACGAACTCGGCCGATATGTGACCTGGAGGGGCATTCGAGCGATTATTCCCGTTCAAAGGGAATGTTCTCCCATTGACCGACATAGCGGTCAAATTGCCCAACTGATCCCGAGTGAAAGACAGCCAAGTGGCATCTGAGCCAGTAATATGCCTGTTTGCCAAGACATTTTCCAGCATGTGAATGGCATCAGCGCCTCCCAAGCGCTCGATAGCAGTGACGAGTTCTTGGAAATTTCCGCCCAGAGACCGATGAAGTTGACGCGCTCCGGATGTTGATGATGTATGGGCAAGAAGCGGGTGCTGCGCGGGTCGTCCGCTAGGGCCGACAGCACTGGAAGCCCCTAAGAGCTCGTCTTCTTCATCTACGTTAGCATGGACAGAAGATTGCAGTTACGTCTCACTCACCAGACAGACCGGGCAATAATCGGTGGTTGCCCAGAGGATCGTGCGTTCTGGATCTACCGGGCTGGACCCATCCCCACGGCCCCGTAGCCTCAGTTGCAACAACTTCGGGGAACGCTTCCATTATCTCCGCATCGTCATAGCTGAAGATATTTTATGAGCGTCTCAGAGGTGTGGGTGACATAGAACCCAAAGACTCACCCTTCTCCGTTGTCATCTTCGTCGAACTCTTCCATCTCGGGATCATCGAACCCATCATCGAAAATGCCTGTGATATTGTTAGACGAGTCCTCAAAGGTTGTTGAGTGGCTCATATTACCTTCCGCATGCACCCCCTCTCCATCAGCATCTTCGTCCTCATCGGTTCCGAAAGATTCGTGGCCATCAGATTCGCCCTAGAGACTTTGAGCATACGCAGATAAAGTCGATCATTTGTTGCTCACCTCCCACATCTCACCATCCTCCTCAGCTGAACCAAGGATGACCTCCGGCTCCAACTCCCCCAAGTTCCCTTCATCATCGCTGTCACCCAAATCGTCTTCCGGGCCATCCGTCTGAGGCAACCAGTCTCAGCAAACTTATCAAAAGAAACCCCATTGCACTTACCCATTCATCGTGATCGAGTACGGATGCCATGGACTCATCCTCAGATGTTTGAGTAGCCGTATCGTCGTCATCGTCCTGACATTGTTCAGTACTGATCTGACAGGCAACCGTCGCACTCTGGTACACTCACCGTGAGATCATCACCCATTTCCTGCAACAAAGTCAGATTAAAAGCTTTTGCTTGTAGATATTGAGTGGTGACATACCATGTCATCTTCGTCCTCCTCCTCATCCATTTCATCGTCCTCGTCATCTTCACCAAGTTCACCCCCAAGCCTGCATAACCAAATTTAGCTCATTTAGCTTGCCCCGTCAAGCGCAAACGTACATTCCCAAAGCCGAATTACGATAAAGGTCTGGAGCCTGGTCTTCATCGAGCATGTCGACGTCAGAATCTGTTTCAGCATTTGATGAGTCCGAATCATCGTCGTCCTCGCTTGATCGCTCATCCACGCTATCCTTGGTGTCCTTGCTGGCCTTGCCCCACTTGACGGACAGCTTTGATCTGTAGACACACCCCATCAGACAGTGATATGCTAGGTGTCGGCAGAGACTTACAAATGATCGAGAGCACGAAGCAATGTTACAAGGACATTACGTATATCCGGATAGTTCAAATCAATCTCGCCCAAGGCATTTGTGAGAAGTCCCACATAGTTCTTCTCTAGCATCGTCTTCGCCATGTGAAGACCAGAACTATTGATCTGCCTGGCAGAGACATTGGACCGAGCGACCAGCAGCCGATGTATCAGTTCTCCCAACGCCCAAAGGCGGCCATAACGAACGTTGACGTCAACGACAAGAGAGGTGTCACGGATGGCTTTGGATATCGCGTCCAATACAGTCTTTCGGATAGACACCATGTCCTCGGATGTGTCTTTCTTGTCTAGGGCAGGGGTAGTATCCGAACAGAGAGCGACGATCATAGCTGTCGCCCGGGATGATATGGCAAGCCTTCTCGCTGCTGCGGAATTGCTGTCGGTACTGGGCAAACTCATCACGTCGGGGGTTAGAATGACGCAACACACCATGTCATTGATGACACCGTTGACGCCGCCCTTTGACTTGATGCCACCTGGGTACACTCTTTGAGAGAGACTGGCAAGGAAAGTTTTCTTGATGACCAGATAGGACCCAAGTAGCTCGGTGAGAGTGGCCATCAAAAGGGAAGAATACGAGAAGATATCGAAATCATCTCCGTCCCTTGATGTGCTAGGGCTGTCGACTTTACTTAAAGCTCCGGGAATAGCTTCGGACAGCTCAGAGAGGATTACGTCGATCACGTCCTGGCAGTGCTTGCTTTCCTGCAAGCCAGTATTGGTTGAAGAAACGTGACTGACGCCGGACTCGCGTTCCTCTTCTGTCTGACTTCGTATATGGTAGACAGACTGTGATGGGGTTGGGTCCACAAGGGTACACTCTTTTTCAACGGCATTGGCAAAGATAGAAGGTTCTCGCAGAGCTATGGGGCGAAGCTGCTTGACAAAATGCTGGATGTCAACAACTTTGCTGCGACCAGGCGACAACCAACTTCTGACTTCTCCATCGATTATGTCATTCAAAGTCCATTTGTCGTCCACAAGGTGCCGTATAATCATGGCCAGAAGCGAATAACAGCCTTCGAGCTTGCCTGAAATCTTTCGGAAAGGTTTCAGACAATTGCTGAGCATTGCCGTTGTTGATGCAGGTTTGGAGGACCGTGAAAGAAGAACGAGAAGGCGGAGACTGGCTACCAATTCCTCACGTGACGCATCGTCTGATGAAACCAGAGTGGAGCATAGGAGGAAGAGAGGATCAGTGACACCTCCAAGAACCTTAGCTGGTTCGGTCACCGGCACGCTCGAGTCATCCCCAAGTTTGACTTTGACGATGGTGTCATATGAGGAGAGTAGAGTTTCACCGAAGAGAAGGAGGCCTGTAAGCCACCGAGGCTTACTTGTATTGTGGTTGACAAGACTGAGAGGTAGACAAGCTATGATTGTAGCAGAGATGGCAAAGACGGAAGCATCAATGGAGGTCCCTTCCTCCGATCTCAAACAAACGGACGCCAGTCTCAGGCGGGCTGACACTATGCGTTCACTCGGTTCTTGATACTCTCGACAGATGTCGAGAAGTTTGTTTAATGAGAACATGGCACCCTCCTTCCCAGAAGGAAGACACGAAAGCAAGTCCATGACGAGGTCTTCGGCAACATCAACGATAGCCAAAGCCCGTTCGGCGAGATCCCCCTTGTCTTTGTCGCGTAAATCGTGCAACTGCTGCTTGAACGAATTGATGTCATCTGCAGTGGCAGCAGGGTCCACATCTATGCCCGTTCCCACAAGTGCCGGCTCTTCCACTTCAGCATCTTGCGCTGGGGGTGGGGCATTTTCGACAGGCGCAGGGGCGTCATCGGTGACTTCTTCGGCAGCCTCATCGTGAGGTGGGGCGGGAAGCTCGCTCTCGAACTCATGAGGTACAGTCAACAAAAGGTCCGTAGCCGCAGTGACATTGTTTCGAGCCCGCACGAGAGCTTGCGCAGCTGATCCACGGGTGAAGCCCATGTCCACTAACTGGTCGATATGGCCAGAATCCGCTGTGACAACAGGGGGTCGATGATGCTGGGCGATGATGTGGATACCTCGACTCGCCACCGCGGGAATGGCCAACGGCTCCTCGTGCTTGCCTTCCATCAAAGTTGAATAGCAGTTGACCACCGCTTTGATGATGAATGTAGGGCATTCTAACAGCCAAGAAGCCCCCCAGACATGACGAGCAAGCGGGAATACAGCAAGACGGAGCTTGAGAAACATGGTAGTAGGCGCGAAGGGGTGTTGCGCCTGGCCTGGCTGCACAGATGCAAGCGCATGCGTTTCAGGGCTGCCCAGGAGCGCTCGAGTGGATACGAACGTGTTGCACATGAAGAGGACTGTCTTCAAAGCTTGTAGCGCTTCTTCGTGACGTTCTTTCTCCTCTTGACTCCTGTTCTCTAGCGGCACAGTAGAGGCATGATCGATATGATCAACGATGCGTCGGGAGGACTCTAGTAGCTTGTCGAACCCTCCTTTGCGTTCGAACACCAAGAACAGCGAAGTATTGAGATGCCCCTCCAGACCTCGACCTGACTTTCAATTAGCATTATACACGTCGAAGGATAACATGTGATCATCCTCACCGTCAAAGAGTGTGGATAAAACTGTCCCTAGTGCGAAGCCGTCGATAGCGAAAGCATCGGGAAGCGAGTCCGGTACATCTATGAAGAGACTGATGAGCCCCTCACATATGGCCGGCATTGCCAGTACGTGCACGACTCACCCGACAAATGGTCAATGAGGATGTCAGCCACGCAAGCAGAAAGAAGTTGGCCCTGCTCTTGATGAGCCTGGTCGCGTCCCCGCTTGATGTAGATTAGTCGAACAAGACCTGTGTTTACCGTCAGATACAAAAAGCCTTCGACAGTCAAGAGGAGGATGCTCACATTTGAAAAATTTCGACAGTATGGCATGGAGCCGAGTAGAAAGATATCGCACGCCAGGTTCAGTGGCCTGTTCTGGAGTTGCGCCTTCCTCGACGGGAGGCGCTTTTGGTGGCCGTGAGAGGACGTGGAACCTAAAACAGAGGCGATGGACCTTGCCCAACGACTGGATGAAGGCTGGGTCATTCTGGACATTGAAAGATTTGATAACCGCCGTGGCGACCTTGGAGTTTGAGCCCGATAGAGCATACAAAGCGTCACCAAAGAGTGTTAAGCGCACTGCAATGCTCTGAAGGACCCGGAATTTCATCTTCAGACTATCGTTAGCTCGCCCCTCACGTACAGTCTGCCAGTGATCGATGGCGTCGTTGACCTTCCAAACTTCGGTGCTTTGACCAAGTGAGGCTTCGATCGATTTGATTATGGTGTCAAGAAATTGAGCGTGACATGATTCGATGGCATACTTCATCAGATGCGCGAGGGCCATCGCGGCCGTTGTGGCTCCAAATCTGATGGGCCAGCAAGGCGAGTCTGTCATCAGCATGAGAGTGTCGAGACCCGCCTCATTGACGAAATCCTTGACGATCGTGGGATTGCGCAAGAGACCGCTGAGCATCTGAGTTTCCGCATTAATGTAGCTCCTGCATTAGACCAGACACGTACCTTGAAGACTCTCGTGAAAGCTGCCAGAGGCTTGTTGGTCGGTGCAGGTTTGGAAGGCTGGGTCTCCAGCGAGGGGACCATCTGAGTGGATATCTCATCAACCAGATAATCCAATCGTTCTTCGTCTTTCGGCTCAAACCTTGCGCCAAATTCGTGTGCCTTCTTTAATACGTTGATCACTGCAATGATAATCACCGGCCGGAGGGAAGGATGGTGCCGGGCAAGTTCGTCGAGTGACAAGCCAAGATTTTTGGCGTTGTCCCGCTCATTGAAGATCTGCTCATGTCGTGGTGATACAACAGTATAGACGAGATTGGAAATAATTCCAGGATGGGCGACCGTATAGTCTAAACCAGCTTGATTGAGACAGACTGCACCCACAGCGTTTGAAAGGGACGAAAGGACCTAACACAAGATTTATTAACATGATATACCCTAACAAGACAGCACACATACCTCGCTGGAAGGGGGGATATCTTTCTCTAGTTCATCATAAAGGGTCTGCGGGAGCTGCATTTCTTGCAGGATTGATAGTGACGTGGGCTCGTTGTGGACGAATGTAGCCATCGTGTTGATTGCTAGAAGTATGGTCAGCGCCTATCTTCGGTTGGATTCCGTCCACTGACCTAGAGCAAAGACACGAGGACCAAACCGTGAAGAGTTTTGGAAGATGACCTTCAATGATCTGGGCAAGTCGGAGTCTACCAGGTTTCTGAGGCCTTCAGTACCGCCCGATGCTTGCATCAATCTCTGAATGGATCGCAATACGCTCTTCAGCGGATTGTTCACCGCGGCGAGGATCGTGTCCTCCGACATCGTCTCCGAAGGAGCCTCATCTACAGTTTGCAGTCTTTGCTGGATTTCTGATTTGATCCACAGAACGAGAGCATTGACGCCATCAATGCCGCTGAAATTGGACAAGCCTTGGGGGTTAGAGAATATGATACTGTCAATCAATCCGGTCGCTCTTGGTATGCACTGAAAGGACGTGAGCGATGACTACCGGCAACAATGCCAGGCTGAACGTACAGTTTCTCGTTTGCTGTCGGTAGTTTTGAGCATTTCCAAAAGCAGTCTTAGGATGCCAGCCCCCATGAGCATGTTGCTATGGGAGGGGGAGGTTGCAAGGTACGCGATAAAAGCCATGGTGGCGTCAATAACCTCGAAAGACATGGCTTCTCCCTCGGTTGAGCGCTGCACCAGTCGACGAAGGAAAGTCACCATAACGCCATGGTTGACGTTGACACTGACAGAGGTCATTACTTCACCCATCTTGTTCTGATGATGCGCGCAGGCGCACAGAGCAATCAATGCGCCTGTGGTCACATCCTCCCCAACAGTGTCGGATGACCGCATGAGGTCGGCCAGCTGCGAGACCATTTCAGGCTCATAAAGAAAGAGATTGGATTGCGCTGCGTCTTCAGACGAAAGGTACACTGTTGAGTAGCGTCAGTCTCGGTCTACTAGACGATGCCCCCAGGTGTACGTGTCAGCTTACCATAAGTCGCCAAGGCCAGAAGGCGGATGGACAGCAGTCTTCTCCTTGTGCATCGATCACCCATGAGGAGCACAAGCCTCAGGCGATTGAGAACGGAGTATTGGTCATCGAGAGGGATGTGTTCTTTTTCGGCGAGTGCGCTCAGCTGGTCGACAAAGTTCTCGCGCATACTTATCGACACATCTCCCAGATCGATCAATGACGGCCCCGACAAAGCCGGTGCTGTAATGGCCACCTGACGTGCCATGGGAGTGCTGTTCTTGCTGTGAGGTACCGGGCGCTGACGCGTGGGCGTCTCTACAGCAGCCGAAGACAGCATCTTAATTGGAGACTTCTCACCTGGTGCTCCAGTCGGCTGGATAGTAGGATAGAAGGAGACTTGGACATGTCGCAAAGCATCTGGCACTTCGATCTCCTGATCCGATGCCAGTGAAGTAAGATTGATGCCAGAATGCACTAAGCTTTCCCATCCTCTGCTGAGAACTACAAGCCGGTGAAGTATAGCTTGTCGCTGGGCTGGCTCGAGGGGAGTGGTGATGGCGTATTGTTGAGCGGGACGCAAGAGGACGAATATGGCTGATTGCAAGACATCCAAGTCATTAGTCAACAGCAAGTCGGACAACCGCTAATTGATACTGTAAGCGCACTCTTACATCAACAGCAAATGGCAAACACACGTCGTAAGAGTTGAACAGTTTCCTGTTAGTACAATTCTCGAGCAACAGCCGCTGGACCCTCAAGACCTCTAAGAGTAGCTTTTTGGTCTTTGGGGTGAAATCGTTGAGCTGTAGTTTGGTGAGATCATAATTTTGGATCACTCCTGCCAGGATTTCGTCGAATCGGTCCAACACCAGTACCCATGTGTGAAGATCACCCCTCGGATAACGCCACGCTTGGAACTGTTCAAGCACCTCCGCGATCTCTTCATCGGATGCCGAGGAAATTTTGTTGATCAGAGCGGCAACATCATCAGGCTGAGCCGAGTCAATGATGAGCTGCGATATCTTGGAGAGGGGTGAAGGAGCTCACGGGAGGGTTTTGTTTCTTATTGGACTTCTTGACCTTCATGATCGGTCTGCGGGTTGCTGACCGGTGTCGGGTTCAATGGTGTGGCGGGGGGCGCGCGATGCGGGGGGCGTTGAGAGGCAGCAGGGTCTGGAGGAAAGAGAGATGCGGTTGGAAGAGAGATAGAGATGCGAGGGAGCTGTTCATCGCACTCCTGGTCAACTCCTGCCCGCACCCGCGTGCAAATGATGCATCTGGGCGAGCGTGGGAATGTGCCGCCTCCACCGCGCGTATCCTTCACCCGTCAGCAACTGGTCAGCATCCGTCAACTTTCTTCAACTTTCTTCAACTTTCTTCGGATCATGAGCAGGATGGAGCCCGCAGAGTCTCAGCAGTCACTCGTATCCCGTCTCAGGTCTCTCCTCGCTCATTTCACCTCACAGAGAGAGTCCGATGCCAAAACCGAGACTGAGCTTGTCTCTTTACTAGACGAAATTGCAACAGTCCTCAAAGATGGTATGTCCTCCTTGGGCTGAGCCGGACTAACCGTATAGAGTCTCACAGGGCAATCCTAGGAGCAACAAAGCTTCCAGATACTATATGTGCTCTGCTGAACCTGCTATCCACGTCGAGCAACATAGTCAACCCCGATGCTGCTCTCAAAGAGGTCGGGAGAGTAGCGACTAATCTGGTGGTGCAAAATGGTAATTGACATGACGGAATCTTTGAGCATCGCTCATCGAACATGCCATAGACCCCAATCGAAACATGATGTGTGCCTTGGGGTATATCGATACGGTCCTCTCACCTGCTACGCTCGGACGAGGCCCTCGCCCGTGCGACCACGCTCTCGTCGCGAGCCTTTACAACCTCGTGGTTGAGGGCAATGGTGAGTGCTACTGCACTAGGGTCCAGGCTGATATCTAGAGTCATGTATTGCCGCCATGAGACTCGCGAACAACTTTCGACAGCTCAGTATATCGGCAGAGGCTTATTTCTTGCATATCTTGCAACCTCGGCCGTGCACCCCTGCAAACGCGAACGTTTGCATCTGGTTATGGACTGTGATACAACGGTCGATAAGCAGCAGTAAGCTCAGCATCCTTCCATTTTTCTGTGACTAACTTGTCGCCACCGTAGACGGGATCGAACTAGCATCTGTACTAGACGAAGATACCATCTCAAGACTGATGGCTCCCATTCTGCAACTAGCATCTCCCCTATGCTCCCCTAATGACTTTCAGCAACAGGAAACCATACTGGAAACACTGAGTTTGTCTTGTCAAATTATCGAAATGGTACTATCCAGCTCGTATCCTGCTGGCCTCCAGTCGCTACTTTTGCCTGGACAAAGACTGGACGTCATTCTCGACTTTATCGAGCACGCAGAACCCTCACTACAGGTCTTAGTCGGCGGAGAGAACGGAACTGGAGACGGCTCGGACGAAGATGAAGAGCTTGATCCCGAACAGAGCATGGGCGATTCCAAAGCATACCTCGCACACGGTATAGTCTCTGTCAGTGGCGAGATGTCAGATGTCGCAGATGCAGCAGCTTTCTGGGCGCGTCTTGGACGATGGCTTGTAAGCGATGTAGAAAAGAGAAAGGACCTCGTAGAATGCGCCCTTCTCGGCATGGGAAATAGTGTGAAAGATGGTCAGTGTCGTTCAGTTTCGTCTTTGTGCCTGCAACTGATCAAATATACTCGACGTAGATGCTAGTGCGCACAGAATACTCTCGGGAGATATTGTCCCCTTCGACTGTATCATGAAAATGCTCCGTCCCGAGACCCCCGCTACCACTCAACATGCTCTAGTCGGTCTTCTCAGGAATCTATCAATCTCAGTGGAAGGTCAGAAGCTACTATCTACTCTTGATGTAGGCGACAAACTGGTAAATATGGGAGTATGGGATGAAAGAAGAGATATGCTGGGATCTGTTCAGGGCGGAGCAATTGGTATCTTCAAAAACCTTTGCAAAGGTCAGCGTACGTCAATTCCTGTTTGCATCTTGGTCATGAAACATACTGAAACTTGCAAAGCTGCAACCGCCTCCCATCTTATCGTATGCTACAAAGACCAGCTACTCGCCCTTCTAGACCGTACCAACGATCGGGCCATCAAATTTGAAGGTATCCGTGTCTTTGTCAATGCTGCACGCAACCTACCCAAAGGTCTGGACCTCGCGGGAAAGCAAGCACTGCAAGACCAACGCATCGCAAGGCTCATGGTTGACATGCTTTCAAATGCCTATGAACACCCTATCCTTCAAGGAGAGGCAATCTTAGGCCTTGCGCTGCTGGCCGTGTTTGGCTCTGCAAAGGCTGAAGGTATGTTCTTCTGCCTGTGTCTGATCTGTGCTGACTGGTGTGATGCCCTCATCTACAACGCTTTCAGTATTAGAGGCTATGAATGAGACGTGCCCAGAAAGTCCAGGCAAGACCGGGCAGCAGCAATTGCGAGACATCTTGCTGAGCAGTAAAGACAGCCTCAGCGAGGAGATTCGCCAGAATGGAGAAACCCTAGTATCTCTCCTATTGGGTCAGCAGAAAGTAGAGTAGCCGCATATTGATGAATGAACATGATTTTGTTGCTGACATTCTCCATCAAGAATACATGATGGGGTCCCTAGACGCGAAGTCCTCATTTGACCGTGGAAACCGGAGTCAACAACCACCCGCACATTATATTCTTAACAACACACATGATGACGATGAGAGAGCTCTCCCTGGCCGATTTCATTACAGACACGAAGAGGCCGGTAATTTCGGTGAAAGCAAAATATGTTACATGGAGCATGTGGGCATAATCATATTATGTACAGTGATGATCAACGCGGATGATGCTGTAATGGATCTATAATCCCGTTCAAGTGATCTACATTCGTTAAAAATCGTGAACGTAGAAAGTGTTGCGAAGTCAAAAGTTCGTGAATCAGTCAATGCTGAGTTTTGATGTAGTCTGAGAGTCACAGATCAACATTGTACGATCCCCTGTTCTATGCCTGCTTACCGTGAATGACCCATTTCTAGCGGAAGTTTGATGCGCCAGCCTGGACGAATTTATTGTCTGTCCTATTCTCGATGTGGAGGCCGTGGAAGAATGATATGGTTGTCTCGTTGCCGCCAGAGGCACTGGCGACGAGATGAGCAGTTTATTCTTCTCTTTGTCTTTGTAACTCGCGCTCGGGGTTCCCAAATCGCCCATGTTCTTTGCGTTTGCCCGCATAGACGAGTGGCTGCTCCCAAACAGCCTGGACGAGCGCTCTGAAGGGCGTTTGTCGTCTCGGCTGGGAGTAGGGGCATAGCGTCTACGGCCAGCCAGGATCCAAGGATGTCGCATAGCAGGCTGAGGCTTCAGCCGCTTATCAGGGTCCCAAGTGAGACATTTTGCGATGAAGTCGACAAAAAGTTCATCGTCACACTTCAAGACACCGACCAGGGTCTTTGATCCTGGTCGGCGCCGACGGCCCTTTGCATTGACGAATGGTCGAGGAGCCCCAGTGGCGTCTGTCAAAAGGGCAGTGGTGAGCATATTGTAAGAGGAGTGAGGAAGTAATCATGCTCACCAAAGAAGTTTTTCCGTCGCGAAGCCTTTTCTACGATGTAACGATCAGGCACACCGAGTACCTCCATGATGCACGCCAACTGTTCGTGTTCGTTCTCGCCAGGGAATATGGGCACGCCAGTGTAAAGCTCGGCCAAAATACATCTGTAAGACATCAGCAAATGCAGACAATGGACGTTGAATACGCACCCCAATGACCACATGTCGATAGCCATGGCATAATTCATGCCAAGAATCACTTCAGGGCTGCGATAGAATCGGGATTGGATGTATGTATATACTGCAAAACAATGTGTGTCAGCTACAACCTCATGTATGTTTCATCTGCTCACCTTTTTCAGTCTCCAGACAACTGCTGCCAAAGTCGATTACTTTGATCCCGCTCTTTGCCGGGTGACACAATAAGATGTTTTCAGGCTTCAAGTCGCAGTGCACGATCCTGTGTGACCGCATCAATTGCAGGGATGCGAGCATCTGCGTGGTGAACCTTCTAATCAAAACTGGCGAGAATCCAGCGAATTGGTTGGCTTTGATAAGCTCGTACAGGTTGATGCTGAGTAGCTCGGTGACGATGCAGAGATGGCTGCGGAATGAGAAATGGTCAGTCATGCGAACCATGAAATGCTTGTTGTCAGGATCCTGCGGACCTGTCAGTGATACTCTCGAGGGGCTTCTTTTCCCGTTACTCACCCATTCAACCAGCTGTTGTAGGATCTTGACCTCGACCAGTGCTTGCGCGTGGAATCTCTTTTTGTTTCTGATGATTTTGACCGCCACAGACCTACCGGTCTTGTGGTCCCTACATTGGACAACCTGACCGAAAGAGCCCTTGCCCAGGATGCCACCGACCTCGTACCGGTAGCAAAGATGATCACCGTCTACAACGATATAATCACCTCGCTCATCGTCATATCCATGGTTGTACATGGCACCTCCAGGTCGACGTATTGACCCAGGCGAAGGACTGTAATAGATGAGATCGAAATCAAGCACCTCCTTCCTCTCCAGATCAGACATTCGAGCCAGATTCCTGGTGATGAATTGCCGCTGTGTCAGAGGTTCAACAGGAGACACGTCGCGGGGGAACTCGGTGATATCGGCGAGATTGTCCTTTTTGTTTGTTGCCGCCCTTTCCCGGCGTCTTTTGATATATGCTTCCATCTCTGCGTCCGCGCTGACCTCGTCATCATCGCCAATGGGGCTGACCGAAGGCGATTCGGCCAGAGACACCTTGCGAAAGCTTGATCCCACAGCACCGGTAGAAGATGAAGACGGCATTCGAGGGGCCATACTGGGCGGTGCCATCTGCGAATGCATCGACTTGGAGGGCTTGATGGGAGAGGTTTTGCCGGATGACACAGCTCCGTCTGTGGCATCTTTCGAGTCTCGCCGTCCTCTGAACTCCCGACTGGCCCGCTTGGCACTGGCTGAAAGAGTCATCGCAGTGACAGTGGACGAGGAGGGGGGACGAGGCAATTGCCTCCTGGAGGGAGGGACGGCGCTTGCAGGAGCCTCTCCTCGCATAACGGGAGGATCAGACGGGCGATGGATCACACGCCTGGTTTCTTGTTTGGCTGACATGGGAGCCAACAAGTGATTGCGATGAGCACCTGAAGTAGACTGGCGAGGAGTAGAAGGCGGACCCTCAACAACACCAAATTCGGAAATGGGATGGCGCCCGTAATCGCTGGATCCCGAACCGGTCACTGTATTGGACACCTTTCGGGCCGTAGGGAAGGCTGGAGGAGGCATACTTAGGTTCATTCCACTTGAAGTGACCGTGGCTGGGGAAGCAGCTGGACGATTCGCAATACGCGGAATCTTTGTGGGGGTGACTGAAGGAAGATTCCTTGGGGAATTGGAATATCTGGGTTCCAAAGGTCGAGCGGGGGAGCCCATAATCGACGGAAGTCGGTCATACGTGCTGCTTCCATTGATCGTAGCATCGCTCGTGTTGGACTTGGCAGAGGTACGACTGCTACTGAATGAGCTGTCGGTGGATGACTGGTGCTTGAGTGCAGGGATGGGTTTGGGAAGATCCCCCGAGATGGAAAGTGTCTGTGATGGACGATCAGCAGAAGATACGCGCAGACACGGAATCGAGACTCACTTTTCCTCGTTTTCTCCCAGTCCAACCAGTACTGGCTGCCGGCGCCGAAGCCAATTCCTTATCATTCACCTCGGATGTTGTCGTCACAGGCTGATTCGCCTGCTGAGCGAGCCCTTTCTTCGACGCACTCCCCCTGAGCATCGAAGGCAGATGCATCCCAAGAACAGACTTTCTCGCTTGAGATCCCGAAACAGTCTTACTGTCTTGTCTGGATTTGGGCGTCTCGGGTATCTGAGACTTGGGCTGGGAGGGGGGTTTGTTCTGGAAGGAGGAGGAGGATGAACGTCGAAAGAATGGTATAGAGGATGGAGTCAGCCTTTTGTTGGCAGTAGATGACTTGTAGCTATGGGGTACAAGCGGCGTAGTCGACACCCCCAGATCGGCAGAGTCGTGGCCGTGACCACTGGCAGGAGATAATAACTCTCCACGATGGATCTCGGACCATGGAGTCTGTGGGCTGCGAGGAGTGGTCGACTCTTCTACAGACGGTACCGGAGATGCTGCTGACTTGAGATTGAGGGCCGAGGAGAAGGACCATTTCTTGTGCATCTTTGTTTGTGATGGCGCAAGTGACGAGGGAGACACGGGTTCGCCCGTGGGTGACAGGGGAGGTGATGGATCTCGAACGGGCATATATGCGGCGGGATTTGGGAATGCCGGGTTCGTTGAAGGCGGGGGCATGCTTGATTGCCTGTTGACATACAGCTGAGGTAACGGCGGCACCGGCGGTACATGTTCCTCGGTCTCCTCTGACACCTCGACGCTTGCACTTTGAGAGGATAAATCGCTTCCTGCGCTTGTTCTTCCATGCTTGGTCGCAAGATCCCCAGTAGAGGACAAGGTGGTCGCGGTTGTCGGAAGAGAATGCGAATCTCGGGAAGTAGGTGTCCCTCCCGTACTGACCGTCGATGACACGGATTCGCGTTGATTCGGTACGCGTGGCTTTGGTATAGGTATAGCGGGAATATCCTCGCTGAGGTCTATCCAGTGACTGAGAGGAGAGCCGGCGTCCTTGAGTGACCCATTACTAGGCTTAGACGCGAGCCTAGGCTCTGTATAGATCTTGGCTTCAGGTGTGCCGGGTCGCGAGGCCACAGTGGAGGCACTGGTGGAAGCTTTGCCTTTCGGCTTGGGTTTGCCAGATGTACTAGCCAGACCATCGAGCTTTCGCAGAGCCTGGTCGATGCTGGGATTGGGATCCCGCGCTTTGGGCGTGGCTCTGTGCTTCTGGGACTTTTGAGAGTCTGACCTTTGGAGAGTTTTACTGGGAAAATATGCAGTCGCGCTCGACGCATTTGCCGGCGGTGTACCAGAAGTCACATTGGTAGTGGAGGTGCTCGTTTTGAGAAACTGATTTATAGAAGCAGACGAAGGGCTGGGGGGTAAATGGGAGAAATCCTTGACAGCAAATTGCTTTAAAAGGTCGTGCGAAGAATGACGGGTGGCATTAGGTGGCGTCTTTCTGCTGTCACGCCCAGCGCGATGGGCAAATGTGCTCGTCTGCGAGTCGGCTGAAGACGGCATCTGTGAAGGACTTGCAGCCGTCAGGCTCGCCCTCTGTTGTCGACGAGCATATATCCGTGACCTCGCGCTACCGGGCGAAGGAGGCAGAGTACCTGTATCTATAGGTGGCAGCGCAGAGGTTCGGGGAGTTTCTTGCTGCTGCTGCTGCAAGTTCATCATTGATAATGAAGCCGAAAGCGAAGCCTCCATAGAGGAATCGAATTCAAATTGCGACAGAGCAGCCAGAGAGTAGAGAGAGTCGTCAGGGGTAGCCGTGTTGGGTGCTGTGAGTGCCTCTCTCGACGTCTGGCGGGCAGGAGACTTGTTGGTAAGCCGTGGTGGGTTCTGAGCGGCCGAGTTGGACCGCTGACGTGACATCGGCACATCCAGTGTATCTTTGGAATGTCTTGACGGCGAATGTGGCAAGGGTGGGGGGCGCGAGGATGGACTGCCAGTGCTCGGATAGGGCATACTGGGAGTGCGTTGATGGCCCACGTTTCCAGGCCACCGAGGAGTTGACAGCTCGCCGACGCCGATGAGATTCCGTCTGTCGATTGCAGAAGGCTGTACGGGGCTGGCGTGTTGATTCGAGTAGGACTGTGACGCGAGCGGTGAGACGGGGTAGGCACTCAGGCTGCACACAGGGTCAGCACCGGGGTCGAGCCCGCTCTGTCACGCACGAGTGATGGCTGTGGTCTCCTCTCGACACTGGCGGGACGGGCACTTGTGCGTTCTGAGGGGGGTGCGGAAGGGGCCTCGGACGGTGTACCTGGCGGGGTGAGCGGGAGCGGAGGGAGCCGCTGGTGGTTGCTGGGCTTACTGCGTCTGTGACGGCCCGTCTGGCGGGGGAGGGAGAGTGGGGGGACACGCCGCCGTAGCTCTTCTTGGGACTGAGGTCGAGGGCGGCCGGGGCAGGCGCGCGCCTTCCGCGGGGGGACGAGGACATGGCGGGCAATAGGCGGGGGGGCGAGGGGGGGGGCGGGGGGGTGCTCATGGCGGACTACGGCGCCTGTACATCTACTCTCACCGTCGCGCACAAGAAGAGCCCGCGCGCACACCCACGTGGCACCCGGCGCACCCCGCCCCCCCACTTAGCATCTGCTCCCGCCGGGTGCCAAACAATCAACAACAACTGAAAGTATCGCTGCTGCATCTGCACTCCCCATGTCCTCCCCCGCCCCCGACGACACCATCCTCTGGGCAGACGACGAACACCAGTCGGACGACGACGACGACATCCCCGTCTTCTTTGGCGCCCACAAGCCCGAGGAGCGTCTCCTCCAAACACTTGCCCGCCCATCCCAGCCCAAAGACTCCCTCCGCCGGAGGACACTGCTTCTCTCGACCGAGAAGCCACGCCACAAGCACGGCGCCCTGTCTGACAGGGACTATGTCCGCTTGTACAGATCAGCCCCCAGCGACGAGAGTGACTCGTGCACTACTCCGGCCAGCTTGCGAGGTCCCTCCACCCCTGCCCGGTCTGAACAAGACCCCTCAAATCTCACGTTTGACTTTGGAACCCTGCGCCTGTCCACGCCGAATGATTCTCGAGACCAGGAAGATTCAGACCCTCCTAGCGAAGGTAGCGACAAGGAGAATGTGCCCGTGCCGTCCCCGGCTCAAGGCGCGCCGCCAGTAGAGGAAACGTCATTTGAGCGGTTCGAATGTGACAATACAAGGCATGGCAGCTTGGACTTGAACGACAAAGACGATAGTAAGCATCTCGCATCGAAACTTGTCGACGTACTAATGTCTCATTCAGGCATTGCAGAGCTCGACATGGGCGGACTCAAACTGTCCGACTTTGCGGACGGAGAAACTGGGGCCACCTATCATCACATTGATGACTTTGGCTCATGCTCTTCAGACGAGCCGCAGAAGGAAACGCCAGATAAAGAAGGTCGTGTCCTCCAACCTCATCCATCACTCACCCCCGTCTCTGCGACTCCCGAGCACCAGTCCCTCGATTTCGATGACGCGACCTCTCCTCTGGAGGTTGCCAGGGCAGGTCCAGTGGCCATTCCGGTGCTTCATAGCCACCACTTTGCTTCTATCCGTGCCGATGTAGGCTCCCCTTGCCGCAATCTCCCTCCTTCGCCGATGACTCTGCCAGCCCTTGCCCAGGACGAGACGCCTGCCATCAGACTCGCAAGCATCGACAGCCCTACCAAATTGGTGTCGCCCGCTGTGCCCATGACACCCTCTCATACCTCGACAGTGCCCCCTGCGGACCTTGTCCAGCGCGGGTCCAAAACTTTGAAAGCGGAAGCGGGAGGCAAAGGCAAGGCCAAGTCCCAACCCTTGGACCACAAACAATCTACTGCACTCAAGATGACCATCAAAAGTCAACTTGACTCTGCCATACTTCCCAAAGTGGGCGCACCTCGGTCTGACACTATGCCATCTTCCGGTCTGCGATTCTCCTCCGCGCCTTCCGGTCGGACCATATCTGCGGGAACAAGCTCTCATCCAGTGACACGCGAAATCTCCAAACCGCATCCAGAGCGACCACAAACTCTTGAAAACAGGCCTGAATCTCGACCAGCCAGACGCCCTCTTCTCAAGTTTAGCTCTACATCTGCGTCTGGTGGTAGCGCCATACCTCGCCCCGCGCTTGCCTCCAAGAGCTCGCTTCCGCGCCCCAAAAATACTGTCCGAGACAAAAGCAATTCAATGTTGCCGCCGCCCTCGTCTATCCCTCTCAAGCGCCCTGCTGTCTCTCAGCCAGGAGCGCCGCTTCCTTCTGTCATGGCTCCACCGCGATCTGTCTTGTCGCAACCGACTATCAACCACACAAGACCAACGTTGGGTCAGCCTGCCAGAGCCTTTCAGTCTCTAGGGACACCATTGCGAGCCGCCCCTCTGTTTTCAGTCGGTGTAGGGGGCGAAATGGTTGCCATGCCCAGGGTTGGTATGAAATCACCTGCAAAGTCAAACATGTTGCACAAAAAGCAGTTGTCAGACCGGGAAACCCCTCGAAAGGTGAATTTGCGAAGCGGTTCAATGAGACCTACAACTAACTCTACATGTAGCTTGGAACACCCATGCGATTCGGGACCCCTCGCCAGCAGCCAAGTGCTCTAGTTCCCCTTGCAGCATCGGTGCCCTGCGCGGCCAATTTCTCCACGGCTGGACCGACCATGACTATCCTAGCTTCGAGCCCAATGAGGAGGTCGTCTCCGCACAAGAGCATGGACGCGGCGCAACCGGTACCTCGAGGATCTGCTGCCATGTCCACCAGACACGCATCTGAGAATCCCGAAAATGCTGCCAATACGACGAGTCCACCCTCTGCTGCTTCTCAGGCCTCATCAACAGCTCTGAGTGAATCCATTCAGGTGGAATCGTCTCAATCGTCACGGGCGTCTCCCTCTTCGTCTCCGCGTCCCGCTGCTCGGCGCGCCAAAAGAGCTAGCGCGGCCAAGACTCCAGCAGCAAAAACACACAAGGCGACTTCCAATCCCTCTTCTACCCCTAGTGCTCCCGCACTCACAGAGAAGCAGCTGAAGACTACTACGGCGCGCAATACTGCTCGTAATCAAGTCTATCACTGCGCTATCGATCGGCAGATTATACGCCAGCCGGGACCTCGCCCTCCTAGTCCCACGTCTAAAATCCGCACCACCTCTGACAGAGAGGAGGAGGACAAGAAGAACGCGAGAGAGGTGCGAGCAAGGCGTCGCAAAGGAGAACCCGAAGAGGATGACAAGCCCGTCTTGGAAAAGATTGAGGTTCTCAAGGCTCCCGGAGATGAGGAAGAGTATACACACTCGCCCGTGAGACCTGCAAAGCGGTCGAGAACCAGCACAGGCAGTAACAGTAGCGAGGGTAGAAAACGTATACGGTGGGATAGAGAGATTCTCGTTATCCACAGCGATGGATCGGGCAAACGGACGCCAAGTGAGAAAGTGGGGGATGCGAGTGCGGGGAAGAGTTGTATCAAGACCAAGGTAGGTTTGACAAACTTCATCGTAAAAGTTGGCACGACTAACTTGAGTGATAGACGCCCCTTGATGAACACGGCAATGTCATAGACGCACAGAGATCTGTTGAGGACCTCAAGCGAACAAGGGTTGTCGTTTCAGCCATTTTCTACGATGGTGAAGAACCTATTCCCGCGCCCGCTTCAGCCACGAGATCCAAAAAGAAATGATCGGTTGCGTGTTGTACGAGTATAATGAAATATGTATCATGCATCGTTCCAAGAGCGCATCAAGCATTGCGTAAACGTAAAACCCCTAACCTTCGTAATCTTCGCTATACACTACAATTCTCCCTCTAGTGTCTCCGTGACGTATACGTGAAGGCGATATATTTTTCGATACAAGATTGCGTACGACGCTGTTCAATGTCACTGGGCCGCACGCTAAAGAGAACTGTCAGCAAATGTCCACACTGACCGGCGGGGGACTTACTAGCTACAATAATACTCCCTTGCGCCAATTCTATTTCTTCTTCCATTACAGCCGACAGTTTCGGTTTGCCCGCTCTGGCCATCTCACTCATCACCCCCATTGCTGCGTAGTCTGATTCATCAATCCACAAACCAGCGTCTGTAGTGGGATCCGTATCTCCACTATCCAGTAAGACCATGCTCTGAGTCCGCGTTGTCCTCGAGAGAGCATCACGAATCTGGCTCAGCTCTCTAGGATCCCTGAGGGAAGCGTCCGCGCCAGAGATAGATCCTACATCATCCAACAGAGCCGTGTGGCCCATCGACGGGCTGTCCGGTGGGTTATAGATGGAGCCTCCGTCGTAAAGGTCACCCATGCTATAAGTAGAGTTGGCGACCGAGTGGATGGATTGACTGGGGTTGTGACCCCTAAAAAACGCAAACGAGGCACTTGGCGGGAGCATGGACTGGGAACCTGACGGGGACATGGCTGCTGAAGAGTAACCACGGGGCGCTTGTCCGTCTTGGAATGGGTTATAGACACTGGTACCGGATGAATTTTGGCCCGGGGGGCCTGACAATGCCGCATAGGCATCATCGTGGCTGGGTGCTGGGTCATACAGTCCCTGCACCCGAGTAGGCGGGTAGGATGTTGGTTGAGAATAAGGCATGCGGGAGGTTCGTCCCTTGGCGACTCGTCGAGACCTAGCTCGCCTAATCTTTCCCTGCTCTTCAAGCTTGTTGGAAAGCTGATTTTCAGCAGGGTCGTCAACATCCTCCTCGTCTTCGTAGTTGGTCAGATCAATGACATCCGCATAACTCGCACCAAGCGTGCTGTCCACAACTTTGTCCATATCTGCCTGAGGGTTGACGCTCATTTCACTGATTGCAGAGTCCATCGAGCCTGCGCGGGAGTGGTCTGCACGGGCAAAGACTGGACGGGGCGGAGCGAAATCTCCCCTGGGCTTCCTCGCATTGGTGACAAAGATGTCAATCTGAAGCTGGTCGGCCGTAACCATGTCTTGGCATCTTCTCAGTAGACCAGCGACCCACGCGATCTCCGCATACTCTCTTACAACCCAGCAGAATCGGATTCTTTTCGTTTTCCCCAGTCCGTTCTTGATGGTGGTACACACATACTCGCAGACAGAGGTGCCGAAACTCACGCCAGAACCGCCGCAGACGACAAGTACTGTCGAGTGCTCCTTCCATCGCACACGCTCCGATGAACCCATAGGGCCGTCAATTCGGGCTTTGAGAAAGATGGGGGGTACGTGCAGGTTGTTGCGGCCGGTCTGCATGGATGCCAAGGACATTCGCTTGTCTTTGACATTATTGATACCGACTGCGGCTAGCGAACGTTGACGAACAAGATCGTAAAGGTTTCGAGTCAAGCCTTTTCTGGCCTTGACTAGTAACATGATCTCTGTGGGGTCGTTATTGAGTATGGTGAAAGGATGTGATTGTGACCATGAAAGCTCTGGGAGATAGAGCAAGACACTCTGACCCGGTGCCCAATGGAAAGGCCTCGCGACTCGTACAGTCAAGCGCACAGTCCTTGATGGCAGTAGCTGAGCCTGGGCACATCCAATGGGGATCGCAGTAGGCGTGTAGACCGGTAAATTTCGAGGAATACTTGGAGCGATAGAATGGGCTCGTTCGGGGGTGCCAGGGAACTCGCCTTGGGACTGGGGAGGGGAGAACCGGTTGCCGTGTCGAGCTTCATAAGAGCCAACAGCTTGGAAGGAACCTTCGTCGTAAGATCCTTGCTGGCCGCGATGCCCAAAGTCATCGAGAAGCTGGGAACTAGATCTACTCATGGCAGGGGCATTTGGAAGCGTCTTGTCGTATGGATTGACAAATTGATGAGAGGGTTCGACATAGTGCGATGAGCGCTTGATCTCCTGCAGCCGAAAGGTGTTTTCGTCGTAGGGTTTTCCGGCCACAAGAGAACCGTACTTGTTTTTACCAAAAACGCAATTGATACGAATCATGCGTAGGAACCGGACAGTCCGTTCACACACCCACAAACCTCCAGCAGCCGCCATCCAATACCATAAGATCGGATGGTGAATGGCAGAGCACGCGATCGTGGCGGCAACCAAAACGACGTGGGCAATGTAGAAGAACTACCGACAACATTAGACGGCAGGCCAAGCAGAAAAGCATTCCTGTACGTACCTCGTACCCGTTCTTCCTGATAGGTTTCAGAGACAATACCATCAATGCCGTCATACAGCCGTAGGCGACACACCCAAAAATGAAATGGTAGCTGCTCCAAGCAGCGAACCATACTGCTTTTCCGTCGTGTTGGTCTTTGAACAACTGAATCGTCCACAGCACAGTGTGCACAGTGGTGAGTCCCCATACAATCCACGCGGCAGCTCGATGAAATAGAGCGAGTTTGTCGTTGTAGAGATGAGCGAGGTATCGTAGGGAGAAAACCGCGAAAGGGGGTGCTTTGAGAGCGAATAGCACCACAAGAGGCATCAGGGCGAAAGCCATATCTCCGAACCGATTTCCCGACGTCCAAAAGGCTTTGCTGATAGAGTACCCAACAAAGCCCCTTTTACGCGTGGCAGCATAGTTGAATGTTGAGGCAGACGGCCTGATATAATCGGGACCGACCACAGAAAGCACGACTGATATGGCAATGAGAACCAGTACCGAAAGGATCAAGTTGTTGCTCGGCAGCACTGCCCTTCTTCCGCTCGCAGAGACTTTTCCGAACGGTCGTCTCTTGATACCCCATCTGGAATATGTCGCTCCCAGGAATCCGCCAGAAAGCCTCACATGATGTGATAAAGCATATAGGAGGGTGAGTGCGGAAAGAGCAAACCACAGGAGATAGATGTATCGATATGAGGGCCAGCTGCAACAGTCGTCAATGTTTGCTCAAGGTAAACCGTGAGATTCTGTTCACCTCATATGATGGGCATCGAGATATGCAGCGGCATAGTTGGTGCCAGTCGCACTCGCAGCTACCGTTGGATCCACCTAGATATTGTTAGCGAGGAGATGTCTACTGTACGTCGACTTACGGGCAAGGCGCTGGTTACGGACCCTGTTACGTCGGGAGTCTGCGCATAGGATGTTGTGGCCTTGTAGGGTGGCACATAGGTCGAGGCGGCGATCTCTGCCGAGGTGGACCCTGTGACAGTCATCGTGTGGCAGACTCGAGGCCGAGCAGGGGATAGTTGCGGCCGTGTCTGGAAAAACGGGTGTGGATAAAATAATGACTCCCTCGAGATTGGGCGGTGCAAAAACGCAGCTGGACGCGACTTGATGGCGGCCACCTCCGCCCCTCTTCCTCACGCGCCTTCTTTGACTCTTGACGAGCTTTCAGCGAGCTTTTCGATGCTTCCGACATCCAACCGGTCTCCCTCTCCCTGGATGGGATCCCCAGGTGCCAGGCTCATAGCATTTGGGAACAACGTCTGTCAGCAGCTCCATGATGGACCCCTCATGACCACGCCCACAGACGTCACACGGACTTTCGGCGACTGCATCGAGATCTTGTGGTGGGGATGGAATGCTACCGTTTATCAAAGTGTGTATGGCGAAGCCTTCATTATCCTTGCGCTTATACGATGAGCTACAGATGCCTCCGGCATGCTTCTAGGTCGAGGAGTGCCAAACCCTCTTGTTCATGAAGAGGGGGGACGAGACCAAGTAGACGCTGCCAGGCCTATCAAAATCCTTGGCTTTAGACACCCTCAAGCTTTCCTCAACGCCGATGGCTATGTTGTAGCAATGGAAAATGGAACGACGTCAATACGTTCTTGGGACGATGTTGTCGTCACAGAGCTGGGAGCGTGCTATGCGTACCAGAGTGAGTGGAGCAATCAGCCATTGGAGACCCTTCTGACAGGCATTAGAGGGATTAGGCGTGTTCTACTTTGACACTCTCAATCACTTGCTACTCGACCAAAATCCTTTCGGACCGTTCAAACACCCGTTAATTCGTCAAGATACACCTCTAAAGCTCTATGCGGCAGAATCTACCGTCTATTTCCTTACGCAACATGGAACTTGTCATGTTCTCGAGGCAGTCGACGCTCGTGCATTGCCGCCAGCTTTAAAAAGCACATGCCCGGATCCAGTTCAGATTCAGTTGGTAGAAGAGTTAGAAGGGCTAGGGGTGACTCACATTGTACCGGGCTCTTCCAACCGCTTCGCGGCTCTGACTGAGGCAGGGGATGCCTACATTCTTGCACCCAAAATGAATCTGGAACTTCTAGACGTGGGAGATGATGTGCGGCTTGTGGGTGTAGGGTCCGACTTTGATGTTGTCGTGACAAAAGACAAGATATTTGTGCGAGGCTCAAGTGAGTGATTCGTCAATACGGAATCCTATGGCATACAGGGATGCTGACGAGACTAGACAAGTACGGGCAGCTGGGTATTGATTCGCCTGATGACCAGGGTGATTTTGTCGAATTGAGCTTGGAAGATGTGGCACCAGGTGACATCACTAGTGTACATACGGCAAGGTGGTCGACTATATTATGCATCAAGCAATGATGCTGCCCTTTCCGCTCTCCACGCCCTTGAGCACAGCTTGGCAGCTCTTTCCAAACGCCTCGGACAACCCATCTGCTCCTTCCCCAGGACAAATGACATGGAGATCAAGTCCCTTCGGACCCCATTCAGGTTTGAGTTGAGTCAAGCCCGGCCCGTCAAGCACATGGGAATGAGCCTTGAGATATCCGGGCCAGACGATCTTGTCAAAGTAGTCGGGCGGATCTGTCCAAACCCCTCCTTCGGCGGCATCATCAGGATCTGTAGCCAAGTTCAGCCTGTGACGATCGTCATGTCGCAGGATGGGACTTGCGTTGGAGAACATAAGTCTGGCGCTGCTCCCGTCGATCTTTCAAGGTCTGATACGGCACTTGAAGGAATATTCGGATATCCAGCATATCTGTCACAAGCTGCACAGTCAGTGATGGACACTACATAGTCACTTACTTTGTCCCAGTATAGCACAAAGCCATCCACAATCACCCAGATAAGCTCCACACCTTTCTGCCTTTGTTCCGCATCCAGACTCCTGAAAGCCTCCGCCCATCGTTCAAACACCACTTGGTCAATTGGAATCTTGTTCTGCTTGTTCAGATGATCATGCGAGCTGTGACTTTCGACTCGGCCCGTTTGTCTGACTTTTGCCAGAAAGCCTTGCAACTTTTGCCAAAGAATGCAGGAACTTGGGTCGTCCCAATCTTGCAGGTCCGGATACTCTTTGCTATAGGGCACTTGCTCCGCGGGCTAAGTGTGTATCAGTATGCATCGCATGTCTGACCCCTGTTATTGAACTGACAGGACAGAAATCATCCTGGTGAATGATAATTGCGTTCTGTGGCAACGCTTGGCTGATGTGCTTAGCCAGCAGCGTCTTTCCCGAGCAGCTCGCCCCTCTTGATCTGTCATTCAGCACAGTCCGCTCAACAGGTGGTAGCAACGTACCCGATACCTATCAGCACAACTTTATGGGTGACCATTTCGTTGCAGAGATACAAGCAAACTTGCAAATGGTCGGCAGACTGCCCATCGGTGTCGACTGTCGAGGGAAGACCGACGGAGGCATTTCAGATACGCGTCGCGTCGATTTTATCAGCTCGAACATTGATTTCTCCAGTCAAATTCAATTCTTCAATTCTCAATTCATCCATCACAATGACTGCTGTCGACGACATCCTTCTGACGGCTCTCAAAGAGCATGAACACCGCGAGTCAGGTGTGCCCCCCCATCCGCTCCATGTACCAGTCAGCTGACTCGAATTAGATGCCCATATAACAATTCAAGAGCACATCCACAGAATCAAGACACAGCTTGGGGATGCTTCCGCTGTAAGTATTTGCTCATCATCACCGCGCTATTGTGCTTACAGTCCACAGATCAGTCCCTACTCGAAATCATCAGCGCCTCTCTCAGTGGTGTCATTCAAATGCCTCTTGCAAGATACTGGATACCCGATGGAAGTGTATCTCCCGGGAGATATGGAGATGTCATCCGATGTAGACTGGAGCAAACTCAAAGAGAGATGGGTTGGATGGGGTGTTGAGTGCGCTGTTTTTCCGATATCGACGCTGCGTGACTGCTGACCAGCGCAGAGTTCCTGGGGAGCAGCAATGGACAAAGCCCCAGGCTGACATAACTGCTGGTCTGCAAGGCATTAGCATTGGCTCGCAAGATCTCCCAGCTTCTGTACATGCTAAAACACCCCTGCCTCAGCAGCAAGGAGGCTCTTATCTTGGTGCTTTGCTCAAGGTGTGTAATACCATCCAGGAGTGGGGCGAGTACTGACTTTCTATACAGGTGTACGATGACATTGCATACAAGCCTGCTTCCGTCCATGAGTTTATCGGTCTTCTATCGACCTCACCCATCCCCTCCAACGAGCCCGAAGATGCCGACATTGTACCCACTATACACGTCCTGTCCAAGCGTGATCTCGCTCCCGAAACAACGGACGTTGATCCTTCAGACGACCAGGTCCGAGAAGAGCTCGTTGATTATCTATCAACAGCCTTTAACCCTCCCGACAGGGTCGCAGCAGAGTTCCTTCTCTTGCTTCTTATATCATCCCCAACAGCGAGACCCATGTCTCTCCCAGTGCTCGGCACTCTCGCTGTCAACTTTAGGCACAGCGGCGAGTCTTTTACCTCTGCCTTCAATTCTGTCGTCTCGTCTGTTGTACCGCACTACGTTCCGCTCCCCCTCACTCTCTCTCTCCTTCATTCTCACCCCTTCCAACCTGCCATGACAGACGCCAACGGTCTCAATGCCGGTCTCCTCCAGCTTGCCGATGGCACCGTCTTGGCAGTGGAAGAAGACGCCATGGGCAATGGTGGCCAACTTAATGAAAAGGCGCTCAAGAACTTGAAGGCCTTGGTGGATTGTGTTGAAGAGCAAAAGGTCAATTACGAGTACCCATATATGGATGGGTTGAAGATGGACTGTTCGGTCAAGGTGGCGGTCTTGAGTCAAGGAAAGAGCCTGATCCCTGTAAGTCATATCTTCACGATAAGGTTGATGACTGATGTGTACAAAGGTGGACGTGGACATTCCCATCTGCGCCGACGGTAGTCCCTCTACTCGGCCCCCATCGCTTGACGCTTTCCGTTCCTACCTAGCCCGCTACTCTTCCCCTGCCCACTCTGCCCGCCTGGTGATCCCGGACGAGTCTTCCACCATCATTCAAGACCACTTTGTGCAAGAGCGCAAAGTCAACCGCAAAGAAGCTGAGGAAGTATTGAAGCGGCGTATGAAGATTGCTCGTATCGTTGCGCTCTCTTATCCGAAAGCCGCGTTGGACGGACAAGTGTGGGACAAGACGGTCAAGTTGGATGAGCAAGTAGCCAAGCGTCACACCATGTCATAAAGATGAATACAATATTTGTTTTACGGTTTATCCCCTTAAGCGTCTATGAGGTTCTCCTCCTTTGCCTCCTTCTTTTCCTCGGGCTCCTCGGCAGATCGCTTGGGCTTTCGCGAGTAGAACTCGGCAAGGATCTGGGACCATGATCAGCACACGTTACAGCAAAGGTCAAATTGACGCACCTTGGGACTGATTCGGTTGAGAGACTCCTTGGGGAAGATTCTCAAGAGTTCCCAAGCAATGTCGAGGCTTTCAAAGATGGTTCGAGCCTCATAAGCGCCCTGGCCCACAAACTCCTTCTCAAACCTGTCCAAGAATTCGAGGGCAAGCTTGTCGTCGGCCGAAAGTGCTTCTTCACCAACGACTGCCTTCATGGACGCGGCGTCCTTACCCACAGCGTACTTGGCATACTAGTGGATATGTCAGACATGTTTCAAGTGAATAGAAGCGACATACCAGCTGGTTGGAGACATCACCGTGGTCCTTTCGCGTGAGTTTGTCACCGATAGCACTCTTCATCAGACGGGACAAGGAAGGAAGGACGTTGATGGGGGGGTAGATCTGACGGTTGTGGAGCTGTCGGTCAACAAAGATCTGTCCCTCGGTGATATAACCAGTCAAATCAGGGATGGGGTGGGTGATATCTGCTTATCGTTAGCGCTGGTAATGCGTGGTGAATCAACTCACCATCGTTGGGCATGGTCAAGATGGGGACCTGGGTGATGGAACCATTCCTGCCCTCGACTCGACCAGCACGCTCATACAAGGTGGACAAATCGGTATAGAGGTAACCAGGGTAACCTCGTCGACCGGGGACTTCTTCTCGGGCGGCAGAGACTTCTCGAAGAGCATCGGCGTAACTGGACATGTCGGTCATGACGACCAAGACGTGCTTTTCAAGCTGATAGGCATAGTACTCGGCAGTGGTAAGAGCCAGACGAGGCGTGATGATACGCTCGATGGTGGGGTCGGAGGCAAGGTTGACGAACAGTGTCGAGTTGGAGATGGCTCCTGATTCTTCAAAGTCTTGCTTGAAGAATCGGGCGGTCTCCATGTTGACACCCATGGCAGCAAAGACGATGGAAAAGTTGTCCTCGTGGCCATCGTGGACACCCTTGTCGGCACCAGGTCGCTTGACCAAACCAGCTTGTCGACAGATCTGGGCGGCAATCTAGGACAATGTCAGCGGTATGCAGCCACACAAGATGAATTGACAGACTTCGTTGTGCGGGAGACCAGCGGCAGAGAAGATGGGAATCTTTTGGCCACGGGCGATAGAGTTCTGGGTTTGACGTCAGTAGCGTCCCTATATCGGCCAAGTCTGTGACTGACCATGGTGTCGATGGTAGAGATACCGGTCTGGATCATCTCTTCGGGGTAGATACGAGAGTAGGGGTTGATGGGTGAACCTGCGGTGCGTAAGCTTGCTGGTTCCGAGGCCAAGACTGACAGACTCGCCATTGATATCAAGATAGTCCTCGGCCCAGACTTTGGGTCCCTTGTCGATCGGGTTACCACTTCCGTTGAAGACTCGACCAAGCATATCCTCGGACACGGCAAGCTTCATGGAGGATCCAGAGAAGGAGATTCGGGTCGCCTTGGTGTCGACACCAGAGGTACCCTCAAACACCTGAGGACGGGACCGTCAGTGCTGCTACCTTTCGCGGACCCTGCCCTGAGGCCGACGCACCTGGACGACGGCCTTCTTGCCGCTGACTTCGAGGACCTGGCCGCCTCGGACGGTGCCGTCGGGGAGGGTGAGCTGGACGATCTCGTTGTAGGAGGGGAACTGGGGAGATCAGCGGTGCGCGGGGGGAGATGGGGCGGCGTACAGAGACATTGTCGAGGACGACGAGGGGCCTGTTGGGTCAGCTGTGTCTGCGCAGGGGCACTCACCCGTTGACGGCGGAGACGGTCCTGTAGTCTGCATGTCAGCGGGGCCACGTGGGAGCGGACGTACCCATTCTCGGCTCTACGTTGAACTCGCGGACTGCGGCGGCCTGTGGGTGGGGTGGGTGAGCGGGTGCCACGTGGCGGGGGACTCACTGCGCTGATGGCGGCGAGGTCATGCTCGGGCACGTGCGGGGACATGGCGGGGATACAGTGACAAGTGGATGACAGCGCCGTATAAAGGAGAGGAGAGTGACCCGCTTACGTACTCACGGCCACCGCCGCCCCGCCCATGCCAGCGCAGGAGCAGGAGGGGATAGATAAATACAGTAATTACCCCGCATCTGCACACCATGCACACCTGGACCGCTGACGAGATCCTGAGGGGGGCCGCCTCCAGGCCGTACGCGCTCATCGTCCTCAACCAGCCCACCACCCACCACCTCCTCCACACCGCCTGGCACGCCACCGCCCTCCACTTCTGCGCAGACGGCGGCGCAAACACCCTCTACAACCTCGACCACCGCCGCAACAGGTACATCCCCGACCTCATCAAGGGCGACCTCGACTCGATCCGCCCAGAGGTCAGAGCCCACTACGCCTCCCTCAACGTCACTATCAAGCAAGACAGAAGCGAGTATGCCACAGACTTGATCAAGTGCATCGAGGAAGTACCCGAGGACCACTCGATAGTGCTGCTAGGCGGCTTGAGTGGCAGGCTCGACCAGACTGTGCATACTATGGGCGTCTTGCAGAGGACAGAGAGGGAGGTTTTGGTGCTCGACGGCGAGTCGTTTGCGTGGTACCTTCGGCCGGCAAGTACGCCCCACTGCATACATACAGTCCTGCTCACGTCTACCCCAGGGCCAACATGTCATCAATATCGACCACAATACTATGGGCCAGACTTGCGGTATACTGCCCGTCGGTATCGACTCTGCCCACGTTATCACCAAGGGCCTGAAATGGGATGTCGGTAAGCCGACCTGTGATCGTCCTCCATCATCATTTTGCTGACTCTGATAGACTGGGAAACGTCACTGGTAAACAACCTATCAACATCGAACCACCTCTTGCCCGAGAACCCTTCCGTGTACATAGAGACAGACAAACCTATATTGTGGACTGTAGAAGTAAAAAAGCCATAGACTTTCGGCTGTATTTGTACAACCCATGTATGTGTGTTGCAAACAGCAGCATATCCGCATAGAGAGATGTTACAGTCTGCATAGTACCACTCGAGAACCCTACGAGAGAACGTACTCAACAAAAGAGGACATTAGGTGGGTAGGAAATTGTAGTCTAGAAAATGGTTGGAGGATGCTCAGAGAGCAGGGCGGGGAGAAAGAAAATGTACAATAGGGTCTAAAACGCAAAAACCAACAATCATCCGCCGCTTACTCCTTGGTCTCCTCCTCCTTCTTGGCCTCCTCGGGCTTGGCGGCAGCCTCCTCAGTACCCTCGGCAGCGGCCTTCTCCTCGTCGTTCTTGCCCCACTCGGCAAGCACTCGGAGAGCCTCGTCAACCTTCTCCTGGAGAGCGGGCTGAGACTCGACAAGGTGGAGAAGCTCGGCATTGTCCATCTCGAGGAGCATACCAGTGATCTTGCCGGCAAGGTCGGGCTGGGTCTCAAAGATCAAGGGGTAGAGGGCCTCACCCAACATCTGCTTCTGCTCCTGGAGAGGAGCCCTGGCAAGAGTCTGGGCGTCGAGTCGGCCGGGCTGGGCAGCGGGAGCAGCGGCCTGCTCGTGGGGTCGAGCGGGCATCTGGCCACCTCGGGGGATGGAGCCAGTGGGGAGACCCTGGGGAGCACCGACGGGGCTAGGGCCACCGTTTCGGGGACCGTTGCCGTTGGGCGCACCAGGAGCTCGGCCACCACCGGGTCGGACAGGGTAGCCGGGACCAGCGGGGTAAGGACCCTGAGGAGGCATGCCGTAGGGGGCGGGGATGGGCTGGCCGTTGGGACCGAATCGGGGACGAGCCTGCATCATACCCTGGGGAGCACCGGGGTAACCCATCATGGGGCCACGGACAGGGGGCATGCCGGGCATGGGCTGGTATCCGGGCATGGGAGGGTAGCCGTACATGGGCTGGCCCATGTAGCCGCCCTGCATACCACCGGGGAAACCGGCACCGCCGTACTGCATTCGCTGCTGGCTTCGCTGCGAGATCTGAGACTCGAGGGCCTGTCGTCGGACATCCTTGCGCTGGGCGAGGGCGACGTAGAGGGGCTTGGTGCCGATCATCTTGCCGTTCATCTCAGAGACAGCCTTGGTGGCCTCGTCGGGGGAAGAGTAACAGACGAAACCGAAACCTCGGGAGGCACCGCTGTCGTCCTTCATGACCTTGGAAGAGGTGATGGTACCGAAAGACTCGAATTCGGCACGGAGACGGTCGTCATCCCACTCGTCTAATAAACGTCAGTCAGATCCGTGGCAGATTAGTCGCTACTCACCGTCAAGGTTCTTGACGTAGAGGTTGACACCAGCGCTCTTTGCCTCGTTCTCAAGCCTCTTCTCCTCGTGGCTCCTCTTAAGCTCAGCCTCTCGCTCAGCCTTGCTCTGGGCCCTGCCGGCGTAGAGCTTCCTGCCGTTGATGTCCTTCTCGTTAAGAGCGTCGACAGCAGACTTGGCGGCCTCGTGGCTTTCATAGTTGACGAAACCGAAACCCTTGGAGGCGCCGCTCTCGTCCTTGGAAAGAGCAACAGAGACGGTGGCACCGAAAGGCTTGACGAGCTCCTCGAAAGCCTCCTCGGAAAGCTCAGGGTCGACGTTCTTGAGGTACACATTGGTGAACTGGGCCTTGAGCTCCTCAAACTTGGAGAGACGCTCCTTCTTTCCGACGTGGTGGCCGACGTAGACCTTCTTGTCGTTCAAGAGCATACCGTTGACAGCCTTGATGGCGGCCTCGGCAGCCTCGGCAGTAGAGTAGTGGACGAAACTGCGAGTTAGGGGTCAGCGGCCATCTCGCAGCAGACAATCAAAGGACGTACGCGAATCCTCGGCTCTTGCCGTTCTCGTCGGTGCCGACCTTGCAAGAAAGGATGTCACCGAAAGCAGCAAAGGTGTCGTGGAGAGCCTTGTTGTCGATGCTGGGGTCGAGGTTCTTGATGAAGATGTTTCCCTGGCCAGTCTTCCTCAAGGCGGGGTCTCGCTGAGACCACATGATTCGGCAAGCGAGTCCCTTGATGAGAGAGTAGTTGAGGTGCTCGAGGGCACGCTCACCGTCGGCAGCGTTGAGGTAGTTGACGTACGCGTAGCCGAGGGATCGCCTGGTCACGGCGTCTCGGCAGACACGAATACTGAGATGCAGGGTCAGCATCCACTTGGCGCTGCGTCCTGCATTCAGACTCACGAGGCAACAGGGCCGATCATGTTGAAGATCTCGAAAAGCATGGCCTCGGTGACGCTGGGGTCAAGCTCGCCAACGTAGAGGGAGGCGGAAACACCAGCGGCGGGGGCGGGGGTAGGCGCGCCCTCGGCAGGGGTGGACTGGGCGGTGGCCGAGGCGGGAGCGGCAGGCTTCTCGGCGACGAGGGCAGGGGAGGTGGCGGCTTCGGCAGACATTGTGTATGCGTTGTTGGTTTTTTTGTTGATTTAGGTGGTGGGATCGTCCACGTGTAGATTAAGAGTGAAAGCGTTTACGTAGTGTTTTTGAGGGCTGCGGGGGTCAGCACGGGCAAGGGGGGGGTCTTGGGCTGCTCACCTTTACAGACTGATATTTCTCTCTCTAAAGATCGAAACGGGCTGGATGGGAATCAAATCTGAAAAGAGCACCAGAGAACAAAGAAGCAGCCTGGCGGAACGGAACCAGAATCCCGCCACCGCACAGAAAAACTTTCATATCGCCGTCGCCGAAGCGGCCTGCTCCGAGCTACTGCGCCTCGTTCAACAACAATCAAAGACAGTGGCATGCATGCATCTATGTGTACCGCCTAGCGCTGCGTCTTGGCGTCTCTGGCATCCTTAGGGAGGACCTTGGCCAGTCGTTCGTCAATCATAGCCGCTACGTCCTTGTACATCAAGTCGATCGACTGAGCGTCTTGTCGCTCCCGTTAGCATTGCCCCGCGTCGCATCGCCTACTCACGAAAAGGAGGCTCCACTCGAGAAATCAATTGCTCTATGGTGGGGCCACGGTTCCGGGTGATCCACTGAGCTCTTTCAGCGGCAGTAAAATCCCCGTATGACCCACCTACCAGTCGCACCTTGTCCCGGTCATTCGGCCTCTCCTCCTTCGGTAGGGTATCAAACTTGACACTCAATATATATAATGCCGCCTCAATCGCATTGATCTCTTCTTCAGTATCCAAGAACTCATTTTTGGGCATGTCTATGAGCTTGCACGCTGCTGCGGAGAGAGGCTTGGCCGCCAAGGTGTCGGCGAGTGGCTGCAGCTCAAACACATGCGAAAGAGTCTTGGGTGTGTGGATCTCTGTGGTCGATGAGTGCTATACCCCTGCTGAACTCTTGACTCACTTTCGAAATCGATAGACATGTTTTCTTGATTTCGTGATGCAGGTATGGATGGAGGCGGGCGTCATATATCTTTCAACCCAGTGATGGTGACTCTTCGCGCTCCTATCACCTCTTGTCCTTTGATGGGGTCACAAAGGTGGCAATCCCAGGCTCTCGAGGCTTGTCACGACTGCCCGAAACTTTCGGCAGTTGCCCGTCGCCGTTCGTCCGCTGTGTCTTTGCCTGGGTCAATCGCCACCGCAACGACTAGAGCTGCTGTAACGAAGGCTGTCGTCAGCACCTTCAGCGTGCTGTACTCGGACTACAACATAATTCGACAGGGGTGTCCCCTGCACCGGGCCGTCAATATATGTGTGAATAAGTATATCCGGCGTCTCTTCCGCTCTCGTTGCCGGGACATATCTGTGTGTGGGTTTCTCAGACGATCTATCCCCAATCCCGTCCTTGTACTGCCATGCGTGACTTTTGTTGGTTTCAGTCGTGCTCATCGTACATTGTCAATGCAGCTTCTGCCATGCAAACAGGCCTTGACGTACACAAACTTGCTGTAGGCAGTATTCCTGCAACACTCGCGTCACGGTGGTGCGAATCCATTCCTCGGCGATATACACCTCCTTCCTTTCACAAAAACAAAGGGCTGCAATCGTCCTTCGCCCGTCACCCACCAAATCGTATCTTTCGAGTGTTTTCGTCTTTTCCCTCAGACGGATGAAGCCTTTCGAACATGGGTAGGATCCCCGCAGCTCCCGCAGATTACTTGAACGTTCACTGACCTGGTGGTACAGGTGTCTACCATTCGGTGAATCCGAATCCTCACCAAAGACGGGCGCGTCAGCTAACAACGGGCACAGCGATACATCAACCCCATTCCCGCTCAACTCTGTCAACAATGCGGTACCTGTACGTATCGTCATCACCGGACTCGCCATGGATCCTGACCCCTGCGTGCTTCTGCCCTAGCCCTGCTGCAAGGCGCTACGACTACGAGGACTTTACACTTGTGCGGAATTCCGGTGTGCCCCCTGAGGTCTGATCATGACCTCGCATGCTGGAATTGCGGGTGGCAGTATATGGACAGAGGTTCGTTCAATGTCCCACAAGAGTCCGCGGTCTGACAGCACGACTTACACAGAGAATTTATCGATGACCCGCAATCGTTACTATCCGTGAGTGCGACTTTCAATAATACACGCCCAGCAGCTGACAAGCAAACCAAGCGGTCGCCGAAATCCCTTGTCGTGGCGTTCGTCAAGGAGTTGGCGAGGCCGCAGCAGCGAATTCGATCGTCGAGAACAGTACACATACAGATATGGCTCCCGACGCCGATGGAGGCAGAGGAGAGGATGGATGATATGACCACAGCATATGCAGCACTTTGTACATTCTTCTTTCGTCTCAGCCTAAAGCGACAAGCAAGCCCTAAACTTTAATGGCGGAGGCAAACCAGTCTCCCAGTCGCTTGTACACATCCTCAAACTGCTTTGCGTTCTCTTCGTCCTGGAGGTCTGCGCGAGCAGCCGCCCAGCCGTGGTGAACGGTGTCGTAGAGTGTGAAGCTGTGATCGAAAGGCTTGGACTTGAATCCCTTGAGGATCTTGTCGACAACGTTCTTGGGCTCATCCTGCTCAGAGTGAGATCTCGGTACAGGCAGCATTTAAAAGAGACGTACATGGGAAGGATAGAAACCGAGAGGAGCAGAGAGCTTCTCGCCGTCCTCGGGAGCGATCATGGCGGGATGTACGACAGCACCGGCGTCGAAGGGGGTGGCCTCGGCCAGAGAAAGAAGGGTGAGTTTTCCGCCTACAAGCTCATATGAGATTGAGTCATGAATTCTTTTATACAATGACGCACCCCAGCAGTATCCCAGAATGGAGACCTTTTCGAACGACTTCTTCAACTCTTTCCCAAAAGCGACTACCTCTGGCAACCTGTCATCTAGCTTGGCGCTACATCACTTGTTAGGGGTACACTTGTGACAGGTAATAAAGCAAAGCTCACGTTCCAGCAAAGAATTTGCCTAGCTCTTCCTTGTCTCCATCCTTCTCAGCAGGGAAAGGCTTGCCTTTGAAGACATCGACGTAGTGGATCTTTGTAGGCAAAGTGGATGACAGGTGAGACACCAGAGTATCGGAACCTTGGATAGTTGTGTCCCTGTAGAACTAGGTCAGCAGGCAGCCGCAGGAGAAGGCCTGACTTGCCAGAAGCCAAAAATGTCAGGAATGACTACCAGAGCGTGCTTGGCATCCTCTGGCCCAACCTAAACCCGTCAGCCGAAAGGCCCAACATCGTCCCTCTGCACGTACGACGTATACCTTGTCGTGGCTTCCTACAGCTTTGAAAGACCCCTTGTACTTGTAACCGGTGGGGGGGGACGTGGGGTGGGGGACGTTGGGCTTTGAGGGGTTGGAGTTGGACTGGGGAGGGCAGCACTCGGTCTCTGGTGCAACGGGTCAGCTCTGAGTGGGGGGCTGGCTGTACGTACTGTTGGACATTGCTGGTCAACACGCGTGCTTGTAGAGATGCAGTACAGAGGAGTCTCCTCTCGCTGCTTGGAAATGATGTTGAGTAGTCATGATGTCACGGCGCGGCGCCCGAACGCCCACTCTGCTCGTTATTTGGTTCCCTTTTCGTCCATGGCGAAACAACACCCTAATATAGGTTGAGGAAGTATCATAGAGACAGATAACATTGTACATTACTCAAGGCAACAAGTCGGCCGACTGTACGATCGTATACAACATGCATTTTTATCATGTAAGGCATCTTTATCTCCGCTCCTCGCATTTTCTAGACTAAATCCACATCATCAATTGATGTCTCGTATAATCTTGGCCGTTCGCCAGGTCCGAGTCTGACCCCAAAGCCGGATAGAACGGCACCAACGCATCGGATGATCCGAGTATCAGCGTATCTGGCGGCTCGTTAGCTCGTTGACAGGGAAGAGATAGAGTGACCTACTATACATCCGCCAGTAAACCTCCCTGACCCTCCTCGCCGGGTGGAACAGTCCCTGCAGCACATAGCTCAAGAGGACTCCCGACCCCAAACCCAGTCTCATACTCTCAATAGCATCCATCATACCACCAATCACGTGCGGACTCGTTTCAAAGATATTCGGCCAGACCAGATTCAGCAGATGCGTCAGGGCATCCTCATAGCCTAGACCAGCGACACCGATGGCGAGATGCTTGACGATAGCAGCAGCCGTTTGACGGTGGACGTGGTCTCGATCGGTGAGGGCGTCCTCCAAGAGGCCAACAACAGAGTGGATGTAGTCCTTGGACATTTCTCCGACGTATTCAAAGATGAAGGCGAGAGCTTTTAGACAGCCATTACGAACGTTGAGTTCAGGTGTACGATACTCGTTGAGGATAGCGGGGATACAGGTGAAGGGACCACAGGTTTCGGCGACGATAGCTGTAGTTTGTCAGCTCGGTACCTGAAGAATCCAGAGAACACTCACCAATGGCAATCGTACTACAGACTCGACTCTGTCGCTCCTGCACCTTCAAGTTTGTCAAAAGCACACTCAACACATCCTGAGGACCGATAGCCTTGGCAATGTAACCGAAAGTGTTGACAGCCGCTCGTCGAATCGCCTTTTTGTGCGCCTTGAGCAACTCGAGGAGCTCGAAACAGATTCGCATCCACTCCTTGGCAGGCACATACTCGGCACCTCGGTCGGCAATACGACCGATAAGGTTGATGGTCGCTTCTTGGACCTTTTCGTGTCTATTTCGGAGAATGGGAGTCATTCGTGGCACTGCGAGGGTCAGCCGTGTACGCGAAAGAATGTGAAGAACATACAAAGATCCTTGACAGGCGGGTTCATTTCAGTCATACCAACAACGTTGGCGATGGACGCCTCGGCTGCAATCAAACTACATGTTGTTAGTGACAATACGTTGGTTGACAAAGTACTCACCTTCCCAACGCATCCGGATACTCTTCACCCAGCTGCTCAAACAACACCACACCCAATTTGCTCAACAAGACATCCTCCCTACAACTCTTGATGATCGGTGCCAGCTTGGCCGTGAGATCTGCCGCCAACATTCTGACCTTGGCCGACTTGTTGGTCAGACGCCAAAGGATCATGGACACGATCTGGGGGAGGTAGGGCTTGACTCGAGGACCGAGCGAGTTGACGATGGTAGCGAAACCGTCAAGCATGATTGTATCTTCAAACGTCTGCTCTTGGAAGGCATAGATGATGCCATCGATCAAAAGCACCTCCAGACGCTCGTCAACATCGGCCGCTCCGATATTGGAAACGACCTTGGTGATTGTCTCCATGACCATCTTTCTGAACGCTTCACTCTCATCCTTCAGGTCGTTCACCGTCCTTCCCACGATTTCCGCCACACCAGCCTTGTTGGCCAGCTCCACGGTCGTTTCCACGAGCTGCTTGTAGTTTCGCTTATCAAGCGCCATCCTTCGCACCCAGAATGCCTTGAAAAACTCTGGCAAGACTTCCTCGCGAATATAGGAAGGGGTGACACCTTCGGTAGAAGCACACTGCTTGATGACTTGGAGGACGATACGGCGCATTTCCTCGTCCGAAGTTTGGAATTCTCGGATAAGGATAGGCATACACTCTCGAACATAGTATCCAGCGTACTCGGGGTCCATGAGCGGGATGATGTAGCCGATAGCCTTCAAGAACGCGGCGAGCGTTTTACCTCGATGTTGCCTGATACCAAGCCAGAGCGGCTTCAAGACATTGTCAAACGACTCGATCCCATAAGGCGCGGCAGACTCGGCGAGGGCGGCAAGCGCAAGAGCGGTCATGGTTCGCACCTTTTGCTGGTCGTCCTTGAGCCCGTCGGCGATAGCATCGACCAGGTTGCGCAAGTGCGGAAGCGTAGCGCAGCCCATCATGACGGCAATCTGCTGAATGATACGGATACCGGTATGACGCGCTTGCCACGACTTTTTGGAACGACAGACGGCTTTCAGGAAGGGGAGGAGAGCGGGGATACCGAGAGCGGAGGCGACGACGGAGAAGGCTCGGGCAGTGGTGTTTCGGACGTACTCGTCAACGTGATCGATATCGGGACGCATGGTAGAAATCATGTGGGCGAGACCGGCAGCCTTGGCGAGATTGGAGATGATTTCGCGACCTTCGACACGGGCATAGTAGTCTTCGTCAATCAAGAGAGGTTCGATGACTACCAAGATTTTGTGAACGTAGGGGCGAACAAGGTCGTCGAGCTTGTAGAGAACACGGTCAATGACCTTGACAAGCAAGTGACGTTCTTGATCTTCCAGGGTCCGTTCCATGAGGAGGGGGAGAATCTTGTCAAACAAGGGGCCGGCACCGAATTCACGGGCACGGTCTGTGATCTGACGAAGAGCAGTCTTTCGGACAGGAGGGGTACCGTTCTTGATCTTGAGCAAGAGACGCATAATCTTGCGCTCCTTGAGCTCATCCAGAGTATACTCGACGTCATTCTCTTCGCCTCCACCTTCACCGAGCACCTTGGCGAAATACTGAGCGTCTTCAGGCTTGAGGAACTGGAGTGTTCCGATGCCCTCGATCTCGGTCTGCTCTGTCGTACCCTGGAGACCACCGGCCGCGGCTCTCATCTTGGCTGCTTCGGCGTCGTCTTGCTGCATAAAGCCATGTTCGCTGGTAGCCGAGACCATCTTTCGTACGGGAGCACTGGGGTGGTAGTCGTCGGGGACGGCAACAATCACGTATCCCTCTGCAGCACCGGGAAGAAGCGAGTCGAGCTCGTCGTTGGTCATACTGCGATATCGCTTGTCTTCGACCATACGCAGGCCCGGGGCAGGAGCCACGGCAGAGGTGGAGGGCGCCTCTGTCGGTGTCTGGTCCCAACGAGAGCGTTTCTTCTCGGGGGGCGCCTCGGCAGGCGTCTGGTCCCACCTCGATCGACGCTTTTTGGGCTCGCCATCTTCCTGCTTGACCTCGGCCTCTGCTTTTGGCTTGGTGTCTTCTTCGACGTCCCATCTGCGCTTCTTGCGAGGGGGAGTGCCGTCGCCCGCCTGAGCTCGGGGAGGGGTATCGTCGCCGGCAATAGCCTTCCTTGGGGGTGTGCTGTCGCCAGCAATGGCCCGGGGGGGTGTCTTGTCGTCGTCGACCTGCATCTGGCCCTTTTCCTGATCCTCCTTGTCGAGCTTCTCCTTGTACCGCCGCACCTTCTCCTCCTCCTTCTCAACATTCACCCTGCGCATCCTGTCCTCGTAGCTCTCATCCTCGCCCTCGCCGAGTCCGTCTGTCCTGTTGAAGCGCCTGAGCTGGTAGTCGCCCTGGCGTGCTGCGACCTGCTTTGACTTTGCCTTGTCCTGGAAGGCGTCTGGGGTGTCGTCGTCGTCTGCTTGCTGGGCGTGGTCGTCGAGGATGTCCTGGGGGGCGGTGTAGGACTGGAGCTGGGGGTAGTCAGAGTCCGCGTCGCCCATCGTGAGTGGTATGGAGGGAGAGCGAAACAGTGCAAGAGTACAGAAGGGGGTCCGTAGTTAACCGGTAATAATGCAGTAATTAACCAGCCAGCGGCGAGGGCCGCGCGGGATCAAACTCGCGGCATTTCGGCGTTCCAGATAGGGAAACTCGTGGCGGCTGGGAGTGTTTTTGTGCCACAAATTCGACATCTCGAGAGTTCTTTACCCAGCAAAAAAGTCGTCAGTCTCTCTATTCCTCCCCCGTTCCCAGCTCATCCCAGCAGGCAAAATGGCCAGCATCAACTCCAAGATCCTCCGATCCGCCAACGCCCCCCAGACCGCCCCCTCCGAGATCGAGCAGCAGATCGCCCAGGCCCTCATCGACCTCGAGGCCAACGTCCCCGAGCTCAAGACCGAGCTCAGGCAGCTCGCCTTCTCCTCCGCCAAGGAGGTCGACGTCAAGGGCGGCAAGAAGGCCGTCGTCGTCTTCGTCCCCGTCCCCATGGTCAAGGCCTTCCACAAGGTCCAGCAGAGGTGAGTACGCCGGAGAACGTGGAGGGATACAAAGGCGGATTGGGGCGCACGCCGAGTGTTGGCCGGGGTAGACGGCGGGACTTTTCAGGCCCACCTCCCCTAGGCAGCTCGGCGTGTGTCAACACCAAAAAGCTGGAGAAATCGCCCCATGGCTCGAAAATGTGGATTTTCGCTGATCACAGGTTTTTCTTTCCTTCCCCTTCCCTTCGCCCACGCCCATCACAGGCTCACCCGTGAGCTCGAGAAGAAGCTCTCTGACAAGTACATTGTCTTCCTCTCCCAGCGACGAGTCCTCCCCAAGCCCTCTCGAGCTTCCGCCTCTGCCCAGAAGCAGAAGCGACCTAGGTCCAGGACCCTTACCGCTGTCCACGAGAAGATCCTCGAGGAGATTGTCTTCCCCTCCGAGATCGTTGGCAAGAGGACCAGGGTTGCCCAGGACGGTTCCAAGTTGATCCGAGTGTGAGTACGAGCCGCACACGTGGCCCGGCTGTTATTGACGAGTCTGCAGCTACCTCGACTCCAAGGACCAGAACAACCTCGAGTACAAGCTCGACACCTTCTCCTCTGTCTACCGAAACCTCGCTGGCAAGGACGTTGTCTTCGAGTGAGTCATTATCATCCAGTCTGTTGCATCCTGCTGACAATCAACCAGGTTCCCCGTCGTTGCCCAGGAGTAGATTGTTGTTGGCAGTTGAGCTGGCATGCATTTGTGACACTAGGGACTATCTACCTTTGACACGCTCCTTTGGGGCTCTTTGCGATGAGATTGTATAATAGACTGCATCATACTAGATGTACCACTAATCTCTGTATCATGGCCAAGAAGGAAGAAAAGAAGAAACTGCTGACGTTTGGCCCTTTCGAGCAGGTGCTACTAGCACTCGTCCTCATGGGATTTGGTAAGTAGCCGCAGGGCCAATCTCTTGCTAACACCATCAGCATCTCATCCCTCATTCCCCTACTCGCCCTTTACACCCTCACTCGCGCCAGATGGATCCCCTACTCTGTCTCCCCTTCCCTTTCTCTCCCCGCCCTTCATGATGATGATCATTATCGTCTACCTCGGATACTACATTCTCAAGCGACAAGAAGCCGAGCGCGATCGCCTCAAGGCGCTTGCCAAGGCTGCAAAACCCAAAAGCTCATCTTCTTCCAGCTCTTCCTCATCCTCCGCCAAGAAGCCTCTCTCTTCTTCAGACGTCCGAGACGGCAAACTGGCAGCACCGACCAACAAGAAAGTAGGCGATCCTACCCCCAAGCACGTTTCCGGATCCTCCTCTTCCTCCAAGGACGACCCCTCCAGCACCAGCTTTCGTAAAAACTACTTTTTGACCATGCAGGGACCGGGTCGGCCTGCGCTGGTACCGTTTCAGGACGGCTTGAGGCCGAAGAAAGGGGAGGCTGCTGGAACAATGTGGTGGGACAACGTGCCAGATGGTGAATCTCCCTTCACTCACCTTGTATCCTTTGTTGACTCTGGTCGCAGACGCCAAAGACCTCATGGCCCCGCCGCTCGACAAGGACAAACTCAAAGCCGCCATGAAGAATCCCTACCAAACCGAGATGCTCGAAAAGGACATTCAACTTTTCAAAATTGCCAAGCGTCAGAAAGAAGAAGAAGCGCGCTATGCAAAGGTCGCCTCCCTCCTTCAAACAATGCTTGGATTCTTGTTGTGTGCAGCAGATATGAGACTGGGTATAGGACTGATGGTGTTTTTCCTATGGAAGCATTTCACAGGATTGCATGAGGGGCAAATGAAGGGCGAGGAAGATGAGATTGAGAAGGAAAAGAAGGAGCTGGAGACAAAGATCAAGGAGGCCAAGAAGGCCGGGATGAGTAGTCTGGACGTCATGGCATTACAGACTGCGCTTGAAAGGTTAGGCTAGGGCAGGTTGGCACATGGCAATGCATATGACATGAAAAGGTGGGTATATGCTTTGTGGCAAGTGTACTCAGAGGTCTCGTCGCTGGTCATCGCCAGCCGCCCATGAAGGCGCCGAAGAAGCCCTGTTGGATTCTGTCTGCCACTGGCGTATGGCCTGAACACCTTGAGTATTGGAAAACATTCTTCGCTGGATGATCTATCAGCATAGTCCTTGTCGCGAGTGTATCACTCACCGGTGGTGGCACCGGGCCCGGCCCAAAGATCGTTGAAAAGGTAGGCAGTGCCTCTTTCCTTCCCTCGCTCCTGACATCCTCCACTCTCACTTCCGTCTCCTTTTCCCCTAGTCCCCCGCCCCCGCCTCCGAGAGACGTCCACTTGCCCACATCATCTCCGATCTCCAAATACTCACTCAGCCCGCGTCCAAAAGTCATTCGTCGCAGGACAGCGAGCACGAGACTCGCAACAGTCAAAATCAAGGCAAGGATACCCAGAGCTTTGAAAAAAGACCAGTGTGTAAAGGTGGTACGGAAGGTAGGACTGGCGAATGAAATCGCCCACCCGGCAAGAAAGCTATTCGAGTGTCAGCATAGACCACGCCATGACAGAGACGGGAAGAAAATGACAAAACAGAGAGACCGATGAACACCATGAACTGTATACGGCTCTCGGTCCTGATAGACTTCCAGCCAAAGTAGAGCCATGGGAAAAGCATCTACGTAGGGTCAGTTGATATTCTTCGCTCAAGCATGACGTACGATAACCAGGATAGAGTACAGAGCCTGGAATGCTTTACAATTGCTCATAAAGTAGCTCGCTTGGCCCCGAGTAATCTGTGTATGGTCAGGCGCGTTTTCAGGTCATTAAAGACACATACTTGATCAAGGTAGAGAGCAAAGAAGGTGACCAGCACAAAAGCATCCAGTTGCAGAATGATGGAAAGTCCAAGAACAAGCTTGTACATCTTGTTCATGGTAGACGAAGCCCCAATCCTCTGGAATGTCTTGATGGTGTCAGCCACATATCCATAGACCTTAAATGAACAACAAACCTGCCACCCGAAGCTGTCTCTCAGTTTCCAGCACCCCCAGCCGCTCAGCCCTAGCGTCAGTACGTTGATGCCCTCTCTTTGCGAGGTAATCGGGAAAAAATGAAGAATCGTCTCCACAGTTGTTTTGAACCATCTCTGAGAACTTTCTCCAAAATGCAAACGAGAGACGAAGGTCGTTGGCTGACCAGGCGATGGTGAGGACGAGAGAGAACAGCAGGGCCATAAGGTGAGGTATGGACTCGTTCAACACCTGTGTTGTGCGTCAGAAAGGGATTGAATGATTGGTGAATGACTCACGGCTACGACGGCGAGGCCTAAAACCCACATGAAGAAACATGCCAGCACGATTTCTTCTCTGACAAAGTTGTCCAATCTGTAGGATTTATCAGCCGTCGTCTTTCCGAGAATCGAATCGACTCACGAGTTGACTGACCAAGCGAATCCAGCAGCACATTGCTGCACACATCTGTCAGCTTTAGTTGAGATGAGGAGGGTCAACCTACTTGAGAAACAAAAGTGTCAACACCTCCACCAACCCCTGTTATGCCTGTTATGTTGGCCCCGATAATCGTCCCGTCTTCGCCCTGGACAGGCTTGACACCGTCCAAAGAGCTCTTGATGGGAACCGAAGCAGTAAGCCTTTTGGGGCTCGTGATGATGCCCTCAAACTGGTCCGGTTCTTCTTCGAGAAGTTTATTGAGTTGAGCAACAGTCATGCCTTTGGGTAGAACTATTGAATCGACCCCCGAATCAGAGTCAGAGTCGGCGGACGTGGTAGCGGTGGTAACAGCAGACGCTTCGGAACTTGTGGCTGTGGTAGCGATAAAGTCGGCGATGCTAGCTGTAGAACCCGTAGTGTTGAAAATCTCCAATCTGGCGCCTGCAAAGAATAGACGCTTGTGAGATCGGTGCTTAGCGCTATCGCGTCTTGACGGGATGCTATCAGTCTGTTCATCGTCGGACGAGTCTTCGCCATTTGATTTGTTTTTCTTTTCAACCCTTCGTCTTCTGTAAAACTTGGGAGGGGGAGGATGCCTCGATAAAGCGTTTCGTCGGCCAGCCTGAACTTCATCACCAGAAGACGGCGATGATTCGCCCCATGCGGAAGATGCGGATGACGCTGACTCTGTTGTTTCTTGCGCAGAAGGGGATGCTGACGCCAAAGACGAAGCATTGCTGGTCACCGAAGACGAAGAGGTGGCGACGGAGGAAACTACCTGGCTCGCGCTCGTGGTAGATGTTGCGACTAGGGAGGCGGATGTGCTGAGGGCGGTTGTAGATGTGGAAGACGCAGTCAAAGAGCTAGAGGTCCGCACAGTCACAGCTGATGAAGCGACACTGGTCGAAGTGGGCACATTGCCCGTGGACAAAGACGAACTCTCGATATCTGCAAGGGTAGCGTCTGCCTCGTGCATGAGGATTGAGGTGGTCACCACCTGGCCGCTGGACGTCACGACGGTTGGCACAGCCAACAGCCGAGTTGTGATGGCATTGCCCTGGAGGGTCGAGACAGTGGTGATGGTACTCGTAGATTGGCTCTCGTTGGCCGTGCCCGTGCTGGTCGAGTTGCCAAACTCTGTTTCAAAACCAGAGTCAGACCCAAAGTCAGAGTCGGAAGATGACCCAGAATCAGAGTCAGAATCTTCCGACTCTGATTCTGCCTCTGCTTTCTGTTTGGATGCCACCTTCTTTGTCTTTCCCTCCACGACCTTGCACTTTGTTCCTTGGTCGTTACACACAAGGCTGTTGCTGCTACCATCCTCCTGTACATCGGTGATGTTCACTACCCGTGCAGGGGCGATTCGCCAGTCTCCAATGTTACCCCGTTTGTCGACAAAGATGACGGACGATAGGTCGGCGCTGTCAATGAGGTGGCGCAAAAAGTGGGAGGTGGAGGCATTGGTCTCGATGGAGAGGATGGAGAGGATAAATATGGTGGAGCTGGAGATCAAATGGAGTGCGAGGAAGGGTCGGACGGGTTTGGATAATCGAGTGGACTGCAAGGCATGAGCACTATTCTTCACTTTGCGAAACTCACGATAAGGGCCTGGGTTGTATCCCATCGATCAACGAAGCCCATGGTGGATGTTACAGTTTGTCCGAGGCGTCAAGCCTGGTGAAAAGAGAAACAAATAATCAAGACCGCTCAGCGGTATGGACAAAGGGCGAAAAGAGGAATAGGAAGAGGAAGAGGGGAGGAGAGGAGAGGCTTGGTGAGTGACAATACCAAGGTCGACGGCGGGGTGAAAGATGGGTGGAGAAGAGAAGGGAGAGCATGCAGTCCAGCAATCGCAAGCATCCATGCGAGATCGGCAACGAGTCGCCAGGGGTCCCAGTGACCAGTGACCGTGGCGTGCGGATGGGCACCCGGTGTATGTCACCTTGACGACTGTCCTCTTGCCTACCCCTTGACGACTCGGCATACCAGCGTCAAGTTCCTATGCGATGAGCACGCCAATTCCTTGGCACTCCTGCATCAGCGTGGAGACGTTAGGGGCAATGGCACATCCGATGCATCCGAGTTTTACCGTGCAACACTCATCAGGATAATTTCATGTCATTGCGGGTTCATAATACATCCTGCAAAGCAGATTGACCGGACCCTCGCTTTGAGGGCTTGGGCTGATTGGGTCCGGGCTTCCATCCGATCTTGGATGCGTGTCAGTAAAGAACGACAAGCTGAAGCTAGACTCACCAGAAAGATGATAGAGAAGGTGGCAGGCACCGTACCGTCCTCGTTGCCAAACAGTTCTACGGCCGTCAGCGCCGCGTATTTGAGCTTGAGTCATATCTCACCTTGATAGATACTGCTTGCAGCTACAAGAACGTCTCTTCCAATTGTCGCACGTCTACCAAGAATAGCATTGCTTTCGCCCATATCTCGCAAGTCTGCCATAAGCTCCCACATTGATGGGTAGTTTATGGTCAGGTCTTCGACATCTACTGTGACCGAAGTAAAGCCAGCTCTGTTCATTAGCGACGGGGCATCGGTGGGATCTACATCGAGACGTCAGCATGGACTATGGTAGTCGTGAGACTCACTAATCATGGGAGATACTCGGTTGGCGATGCCTCCTCGTATCTCTTGTTCGGCAAGTTGCAGTGAGGTCCTGCAGCCGTCAGCTGTCATCTCGAGATATTGTTGGGAAATCACCTACCTCATCTCGAACAAAGTGTCGCCACCAAAGACAGCACCCACGAACACGCCGTCGGGTTTCAGCAAATGCCGCACTTGCGTCAAGCCGCCTGTCGAGGTTTAGTTCTGACCACATATGCAAACGTCGAGACCCACCAACAATATCACCAACCCACTGCAGCCCACCAGAGGAGACGACGGCTTCTACTTGCTCCTTTAGAGGCTCGATCTCGGGATGAGCAAGCAGGTCTGAGGGGGATGCTTGGATTCGCTCTGGGGGTGCTAGAAAGTCCAGTCAGCTTTAGTCAACTACGAGTGGCAAGACCAACAGATAAAGCACGAGTCCTGGTCCCTATAAAGCGCTTCTTCTGCAAACTAGATTAGAAATGTCCAAGTTTATAGAATCAAACGACACTTGCTGCTCGATTCAACCATCCACCACCGACGGCGTCCTTGGCCCTCATTCTGTCCTTGCCCCGGCACTTCATCAGCCAACACGTCTTGCAATATCTGCGTCAGTTGGCCTGCATGTGCCGACAGCTCCATGATTGACGAGGGCGGAACTCTCAGATCCTATCGTACGATCAGCATCGATCTCCTCTCATGGCTGACGGATCGTACCCCTATTCTCTCTGCCAGCCTCTCCGAGACTTCTTCCCGCAAATAATCAACGACTCTCAGTCCGTCTTCATCTGATATCTGCGAATCACCCTGTGCGGGTTCGGCTTTGGCCTTGGCTGCTTGTAGCTCGCGCAGACGGATGATGGCGCGTGAACGCTGGAGATCTTTAGAGGGCTCGTCGAAGACTTGATATGCGGCAGTGGGAGGCGGGGTGTTGGGATTGAGGGTCGCATAGAAGCGGGGCTGGGGCAGGCGAGGGGAGAGTCTGCGTTTGGGGAGTACCCGCAGGGCAGAGCGCATCGTGAAAGGTGTGGAAGTAAACGAAGAAACCGCAAAATGTTGGATTCATTACGCGGCGCGTCAAAGATTATTACGGCGTCGTGCGTACGCTCGTATACGCTTTGGGGTCAGAATGGTTGTGCTTCAACGTCAACCTCGGCAGGTATCAATCACAGTGATCAACTGGAACAATAATCTAAAGCGTCGCATGCAAAAGCGCCTATACCTGGCGAGCTTCATTGTTTGGAGGGATCAAGGAGCAACAAGTGATACCCATCGCCCAGTATCACTTCCGATTGGCAACATTTGCAAGTCAAGGGACATATTTCAACTCAGAATGGGAGATGCAAGCTTATAGTCGAGAAACAGGCGTGAATACGCATCCATCCCTGTAAAAGTACACCGCAACCCTCAGGATTAGGCCTTGGCCTCCTCCAACTCGACCTCGTGGATACCAGCCCTCTTCTCTGCGAGCCTGGTAGCCTTCCTCTCTCGCATAGCCCTGTTCTTGACTCGTCGGGCCTCCTGCTGCTCGGCGAGGTGCTTGGTTCGGAGCTTCTCGGCCTTCTCCTTGTGGATGTGCTCCATCAAGACACGCTTGTTCTTGAATCGGTTACCCTTGGCCTCGGCGTAGAGGGTGTGGTACCTGCAGTTGTCAGTCTACGGCTCCACAGTACCATGGCATTGACATACAAGTGCTTGTCGATCTTGCCAGCCTCTCTGTACTTCTTCAACAACCTCCTGAGAACCCTCATCCTTCGGAGCCACTGGACCTTGGTAGGCATACGGGCCTCGGCGGTACCCTTCCTCTTACCGAAACCGGTGTGTCGGCCGGCACGCTTGGAAGCGGCGTGCTCCCTAGCACGGGCTCGAGAGTGGACAACGGTGGGCTTGATGATGCTGTGAAGATCTATCAGAGACATTCTAAAGGCCGTCGCGCGCATGCTCACATGTGGCCGTCCTTGAGGAGCTTTCGGACACCAGATCGAGAGTTGGCCTGCTTGATCTCAGCAGCCTCCTGGGGGTCGAGCCAGACTATTGGGTGGAGCGTGATGGTGGGCGTGCAGAAGGAGAGCGAGGGGAGGCGAAGGGGGAAAGAAAAGACAGATGCCGTTAGCACAAGACCAATTTCGGATCCGTCCACAGCTCCCAGCATTGCGCCATTGAACTCCCCGCCAGTTCCTCTCAGTATCGCCAGCCTTTGCAGGTACTGACTCTCCCCTCCATCCCTATCCGTTTCCCTCTGCTGCCCGCCCCGGGTCTCCTCTCCACAATCTCTCCTCTCGAATTTCCCTGGTGTTTTTCGCCGGCGATGCTGGGTTGTATGCGGTCTGAAAACTCACCCTTTCTCTTGCCGACGTTGGCGACGCTAGCCGCGAGCCTCTTCTGCTGCCTGAGGTTGACCATTTTGTGTTGTTGGGACTTGACGGATAGGGAAAAACCTGGTACGGCGAGATTTCAGCAGCCTCAGACGCTCGCGGCGAATCGGCAATACACAAATCCACTCCCAGCGGGATCAAATTGCGTGTGGCAGCATAGCCGTAATTACAGTTTGTTGGTCCGTCCCTTAACACCGACAGTCTCGCATCCGTGCCTTCCAATCAATTGTTGTTGCATGCAAACTACATCACAGAACAGTCACTGGCGTCGCTCGGGGGCATCCTCAAACTTTTATAGCTCCTGAAAGATCTGCCCATGCTCGACGAAGGCATGGTCGGAGGACGTCTGGACGAGCGACCGCTTCTCCTACCCAGCCCTATATAGTGATACACTCCTTCAGCGATGTCAATCCCTTTCTGCTTCACACCCCACCGAATAGGCCCGCAATGCTCGCTGAAAAGGTCATCCGCAATCTCGCTTATGGGCAGCTGCTGGAGCCACACATCAAAAGGCTCCGTGTCGTGTTTCACGCCAATCGAACAAAAGGCTGTTTTCCAGGGTATCTCGCTCGTTTCGCCTCCTGGCCCCGTCCAGCAGATGTTGCTGAAGTCGAGTCTGATTGTTCTCTGTTGTCCACCGCTTGGCGGCGGGTACGTCACTACATCCTCCGGTGTAGCCATGGCAGGCGGGCCGTCCCATGTAAACACACTGAAGCCATCCGACCTGTACACGCTTCCGCGGGGTCCATCGGCATACTCTGGCGGAAAAAATGGATGGGACCGACTGTGCTTACTGGATCCATCGACACCGTATGGATAGGGACAATAGGAGGCTATTTCCGCCGAATGCTGCCTACGGGAGGTTTGTCGGTCTTGTTGCCAAAAGTGATCATGACCAGGCAAGTCGTCGTAGTAGTTGTTCGAGGAAAAAGAGGGACTCTTGTGGCTACAAGCTTTTGATTTCTTGCGAAACATTCTTTTTGAGGGGAGGTACTGATGCAAAGTATGGCTCTATAGACCGACAAGTGTCGACACGCATGTCCCCCCAATCACTACTTGTTTTCTTTGTAACACAAAGGATTATTTGTACTACAACAAACTCATTCTACCCACAATGGATTACCTGTAGGCAATGCATCGTGGATTGTAGGTCCGCATAAGTCTACCCATTGTACGCCTATGGCTGATCCTTTGAACGTAGAAATGAAAAAACACTACTACAGACATTACATCACCATTCATTGTCCCTAACAACAAAGTTCCACTACATCAGCAGTATGACAAGTATTAATGCAATGTCTTTGCTCACAATATAGTACATCCCGAGCCGCGGTCTCTTTTGCTAGTAGACGACTTGGAGCCCCTTCCCGATTTATTACGGGATGCGCGACGTCTGAGCCGGTGATATTCTTCTTCTTCTTCAGCCTTTGTGGGCCGCCTCCGGCTCTCTCGGGGCGGCTGCTGATGGGTCGACCTTGACCTTCTTGGCCCGAGCTCCCATCTACGGTGCTCACCCACGGCCTCTGATTCAGCTACAAATTGAAGCTTCTCCCTCACTTCGTCTGGCACATTACTGAACAAGTCATTGACTATTGATACGGTTGGGACATGGTCTAGCCAGCTATTGACCGGCTGTTGGTCCCACTTCGCGTTCACAGGCACTCGGGCCCTTGTCCAGGGAATTCTCGTTATTTCGCCCCGCATTGTATCCTCATAGCACACGTCCTTGAACTCAATATCGATAAGCCTCCAATTCCCGAGACCTTCGGCCTCACTGGGACTGTATTGAACCTCTTCGAGAGGTCGGTGAGAGCTCTTGGGTGCCTTGAATGTCTCGTATCTGGGATACGTTTGGGGCTGAGATTCTGGCGCTTCTTGGGGCTGATCGTGGTCACTGGTATCCACGTTGGCTGAGTCGTCTTCGGGTTCCATCTCTGTTGGCACAATGTAGTGGTCTCCCATGGGAGGAGGAGGCATACGAAGCGAGCCATCTTCCCGTACCCACCATTGTGAAGAATCTTCCCAGTACGGTCGCCCTTTTGTCGAGGGCAAAGTGTCTTTCTCTTGACGAGACTTCTTGGAAGCTCCTCGACGACGTCTCTCTTCCTCTGAATCGGTTTCATACTCCACCTCCACCTCGAGCGTCTCGTCCGCTCTGGTATCTCTAGCATTGTCATGTTTTCTGGTGTACTCGGATTGCCATAGGTCTTCGGGGTCGTCATAAGTGACTTTTATGTCATCCGCACCCGGACGGGCTCCTTCGCTGGCAAAGGCATACTGGTATTCTCTCTGACGAGTGGATTGTGATCTTGGCCGCCTTGAAGGGCGATGCTCTCGACGGTTGTAGTATGACGAGTACGGTGCTTCGTGGGCAGATTCATATCCCCTTGATGAGCGGACTGTGTAAGACCTGGCCGTTGGTCTTTGAGAAGAAGGGTGATAATTCTGGTGATACGATTGTGAGTTTGGCGGTGGATATGTACCTCGTCGTCGAGGCATGGTAGACATGGTGTTGTGTAAAGAACTCTGTAGGGTGATCGGATGATACCGAAATGCCAGACGTGGGATGATCTTTGTAGGAATTCAAAGAGGACAGCAGGAAGTCAAGATGACGCTATCGTATATCTCAGCTGATGTTGAGACTTGTGCCATATTGCGATCAAAGGATTGCCGTACAATCCTCACATAATTAGACAAAGCCTTGGTCGACAATAGCTCGAGTGAGTCTCACATCAAACCACTCTATACCTTTCCCACCGAACTATTGGTAAAGGAAGACTTGTCGCCGACTGATTCTTCCGTTCGTAGGCCCAACGCCGTCCCTTATTGGTCCTTCATTTGTGTCTGTCTTCCGCGAGAAGATGCTTCTAAAAAGTCTGCGGTATTAGACTCTAATCAAGCCCAAGATCCTGAGGATAGAATCTCTTGAACGGCGTCATCTAGCCGCAGGATACCTATGAGAACCCATTGTCAGACTTCGAAGGCAGTCATTTGAGAGTTTATTCTTGTATTTCGAAGCGAGTGTGAGTCGTTTTCCTTGTTACGCATACAGTCACATAACAACGATTTTGACCTATGCTACAAGGTTAAGATGTGATATTCTCCTCAAAATGCCTTCTAATAGTCTTTGTCTTTCCACTGACGCTTTCATCAGCGAGTCTTTCATACCTTGGGAGAAACTTACAATCCCTGTCAGTCCGTGATACGCCACCTTGACTCCCCCACTCTTCCAGTCCTTCCACCCGAGACCGAAGAGCCACGGGCTAAATCTTCCATGTCTGTTTGTCCCCAACTTGAGATGTAATGACTCAACATACTCCCACAATTGCTTGATCGCTTCAAAAGGTGCGTGCCACGCTTCCTCTTGGAGAATGAGGATGTCGCCAATTCGGACCGGTCCCCGAAGAGCTCTGAGGTTTTTGGGAGTGACGCCGTATTGTACAAGGAGATACCTCAATACAGCGTCAGTGCTACAAGCTGTCAGCGGTTGCTGCGATATCTACAATTTGGTACTGACAAAGGACCGGGACCGGTGAGTTCGAGCTATAGGATGTGAGCTTATGCGACATGTCCCACGAGATGACTTGCCGGTCTTAGGCTCTTGGCCTCGCCTGATTCTACCAGCTGAGCAATGGTGGCGACGGTATCTAGCATTATAGGATGGAAAGGTTTAGCCTGTAGGTATGCATTAGCAAGACGCGTCAGCTGCCTGCCGCCGAGTCTGACATACCACCAAGAGGTTCTGAACAAACTCAATATTCCTAGGGTATTTCGAGCTCTCGGTAAATCTAGACCAAGTCCACTGCCTCCACATGCCCAACGTCCTCCCAATTTTGTTGTCCCATTCAATTGCGATGACCATAGAAATCCGTGGATTCAGGATTGTCGATGGATTTGGAATCGAAACGTAGACTGGGCTCCGCCGTTCTATACCAGGGTAGGGAGGTGTATATGAGCTATTGTGTTGGGGCAGGGAGCGAGAGTCAATGCGGGGTGGCCGAGTGTTTGGGGGAAATTTAGGTCCGCCATGGTTGACGATGAGCTCAGCGAGTAATTCGAGGTCGGGATTGATGATAGAAGGGGCATGTAGGCCCCACAAGAAGGGATGAGAGATGGGCTGCGTTGTCGATCAGTGTGTGCATTGCGGCAATAGTATTACGCACCATGGTATCAGAGTCAGAGTAGACGCCACCAGCAACGAGCATCGATGTGTATCTGGATGATTGTCAACGCTCTTCACAGGTACTCTCCAGACCTACCGAAAGACGTCGGCGCGCAAAACACCCATTTCTAAGCCTCCCCAAAGCTCGGACCACTTCCCTTCTCCCGGTATGCCCCGTTGAAGCTTCTGGCCGGTCCACTCTGACATGATCCTATCCAGTCCATCGTCATCGGGTACTTCTACGTCCCAATCTTGCCCATTCCTAGCGGGCTGGAGGAAATCAACATCCTTGTCCACCGATATCTGGTTGGCAAGGGAGGGAGGAAGAGGGAAAGGTAATATTTTTCCCCAGAGCTCAAACCCTAGCTGCACACCTTTGATGCCAGCCGGATGCGTCGCCCACACTTTTGCTGGGAATGATCCATCTCGGTATGTGGGCGATTCACGTTTCACCAGGCTCTTCAGCGTATTTCGTGCCGCAATATGGATATGTGCGGGTGCTTGCTGCAGGTAGTTGTCGATGAAACCCCGCAGCCTTCCGGTGTATACCTCGACGTCTGGGTCGAGGTTGCTGGTTCCGTCCGGCAGCGTCTTTGGCGCTTTGATGCTTTCGGCGCAGACAGTTCCATTGAACCCCTTCGCCCGTAGAGCACCATGCCTCACTTGCTCATACAGGTTTACGATCTCTGATAATGAGGCATTCCGGATCTGTTTTCGAGTCTCCGAGTCGGTGAAGATCGAGGGCGGGTGGGAGGTGGAAAAGGAGAAGGATAGGTAGAAGACGAGAGCGAAGAGTACGAGGAGAAGCTTGGCGGGGGTGTTGAATCGTAACAGGCTGCGGGGGGTGAAGAGGCGAGCCATACTACGTGGTCCGGGGAGTTGGCAGCATATATACAGGCGGATGTCGCGAAATGTTGTGAACTCGAAGTGGAATCGGGATTGACGCGCTTAACGCGACGCGTTTAATTTCTGGGCAGTAGGCTTTTTTGTGTTTGGCTCCGTATCCTCATGCGCTGATGATCTTTTGCATATTATAGTATTTGTACAAGTACCACTCCGCTCAAGGGTCGATGATGACCCCTCCAATTCTCTCGATTGTAGCCGTCTTATCCAGTGCTGTCGACCAGTCCCACCCATAGCCCCTGAGCTCGCTATGCTTTGGAGGGAGATAGTAGAGGGGACCGTCCCAGACGACGTATCGATGACCTCTGACACCATTTCCTCGGAACTGACTAGGCAGGCGCCACGGTTCAGGTATCTGCAGCAGTATCAGATCTGACAATTTTTCCTGACTGATACGGCTCACATCACCTTCACCTACATGCCAGTAGAGTTGCTGGTTATCTTCATATATGACCTTCTGGCCAGGCTTTCCTAGCATGAATTTCCCGACCTTCTGTGGTGTCAGCTTCCATGACGCACTCAGAGTCGAAGAGAGCTCACTTGAAGTTCAGTATCTGAGATATCGCTTTCATGCACCCTCGCATATGCCACTCTCCACATGTTTCTGAACGCCATGTATTCACACCATCTCCAACGATCGTCTCTGAGCATAAGGTCAGCCTGTGGGATATCAAGGCGCGATAAACTCACATTTCTATATCCCACATCCTTCCGTCTTCCATGAGGATTTGATAAGGCCACGGTCTCCTGTCGCCTGTTCTCGTCACCAGATATCCAATAAATACTGTCGGCTTGTCTGCCGTTTCCCGCAAAAGCCGTGCCAGTTCTGTGGTCTGCAGCGTCCTATCTCTAAGATCCTCCTCTTGCCCGTTATGGGACACCATCACATTGACATGTTCACCGTGAATGTCCAACGTGGCATATATGGCAGGGGCAAGCTCGCCGTCTGGGGAAGGGAGGAGGTGATGTGTGGAGTTGAGGATGGGGAATTTGGACAGAAGAACAGCGCCCCAGGTGTGTTTGTTGGGGCCCGGTCCGAGATCGACGTACTGTAAGGACGTGTCAGCTGGTTCAGAAGGTTTCGCGAAGAACCCAATCACGTAGCCCAGCTCTTCAGCCATCACTCTAGTCAAGTCTCGGTTGCCGTAGACGAAACGATGTACTGGTGGGTAATTGTCAGCACAGTCTTCGACTTCCCGACCACATACAGTCCGTTTCCAACAGTCCCAAAACATCCACCTCCATTCCTTGCACCAGATCCCGCATTCGTCTTTGACTATCTCTCCCATCCTTGTCCACCCCGAAATGTACCGTCCAGATACCGGCAGAGAATATCCGATGTTCGGGATAGTACGGTGCAGGTGCCTGAACTGGAATCCGAGAGAAGCTGTAGAGGATGCTCAAGAGGGAGAAGAGACCAGCGGAAATGAGCGTGAAGCGTTGTACGGCTTTGGTTCGCCGATGGGTACGACGAGGAAGAGAGGAGCCAGAAGGCAAGTCGAGAGAATACCCCGCCCACGCCCCGGCAGCCGTTGACAGCATACACGCCCCCAATACAACATCTGTCCTCTCTCGTAGAAGCCAACCCATAGGGACGAAAGCATAGGCAGCCGTAACGACAGAGACGACATCAAAGACAATGTATGCAAGTAGAGCGTTGCCAAAGGTTGTAGCCGGGCTGCAAGCGGAAGCCGCGCGGACGTAGGGCGGCAGGATACTAGAAAGGTAGTAGGTGAGGACCACACCACCGTAGAAACCAGTCCAGTCGGGGAAGGCATAGAGCGCCAAGGCACCCAGGCAGCCAATAGTTGACCAAGCTGGATGCAGGGCGTTCGGGATGCTCGCCAGGCCTAGAGCAGTGGCGGCGATGATGAATCCGGCTTGCGGATGTAGGGTAGGTCCTTTGATAGGATAGCCGGTCCATGTCCAGGAGATTACCGTGCCGGCATCCATGAGGAACGTCTGTATGAGATGAATGGCCGTCCCCAGGCCGAGCGACATGAACCTGGTCTGGAGCGCTGTGGGAGGTGCGCTTCTGGCTTGTCCCTTGTCTTTCCCCGGCGCTTCAGGAAGAGGAGGTGCCGGATGTAAATCGAGAGGGCGGTAAATGTACTCTGCAAGAGAGATAGCCCCGAGCACCAGCCCTGTCTTGTTCCAGCCCCCAGAACTGCCATTCAAGAGACTCCAAAAGGGGTTATTGGAGTAGTTGACGTACTTGAGAAGCATGGTGATAGCTATCCCCAATCCTAGAGCTGCGCCAGACGTCAGACAAGCACGGGGTAGTTTATGAAGACTTACTTTGTCCTTCAGCAAGAATCTCCTCCGAGCCCTGGACCCTCACCCACGTCCCTAATAACGCCGACCATCCAGCCCAGGTCCCAACCACCAAGCACACTAGTCTCGCGAAAGGCCAGGGAAGGAAATAGCATCCCATTCCGAAAAATATTGTTATAGAACGATGGGTGATTTGGGCGTCGCGGGAGACGAGGTATCTGAACGCTGATTTGGAGTGGAACAGGTATCCGGCAAGATTACCCATGAGAGCTAGTTCGGAGCCTGCCAGAGCTATTGGGTATCAGTATTCCGTCACAGTCAGTCATGAATATACATACCCAGCTTCCACACGGACCAGTAGAACAACTGAAAACTCAACCCTGTGAATACAGTCCAGAAACAGATACCTGTCGGTGTCAACATAGAACGAAAGGGGCAACGCTAGCAGCTCACCAAAATAAACATCACTTATCCAAGCCAGACCCAGTCTCAAGCTGGAAGAAGGTCGACCGTTTCCGTGATTTGTCCAGTCCACCAAGGGCTCATCGGCGGAAGGCTTTAGTTCCGAGGGTTGCTTTGCGAAAGTAAAGGTGGTTGTCCTTTGACACTACGTTAGTACTGGAAAGCATATAAGCGCATGGTCTGCTTACACGGAGCTCAAATTGTCGGTGGAAGGAGATGAGCTATCCACAAACGCGATCTGGAGGTGGCCAAGCTCCAGGGTCGATAAAGAGTCAAATGCGAGATCCCAGAAGACCAGCGTCCACTCCAAGATAGAATAATAGGTGTAGGCTGACATTGTCAATTATCGTCACAGAGAGCATTGGGAGTTTACATACCTCCTTTGATTTTGAGGGAAGAGTGTCGATAGTACATCCACATAAGTGGAGGAATGGTGCAGAGGTAGCCGTACATGGGTAAACGTCTGTGACAAGGCAGTCGTCAGTAGTGACTTTGGACTTTGGCTATGACCTACCTCCGGGAGGCTGTTGCAGCACTGGAGCAGTTACTGGCGGAGAGGTACATCCAAGGTACTGTAAGAAGTAGATAGAGAATCATGAAAAAGTCGTGAACATCTGAAGTTCTGTCAGTCGCCCGTGGTGCGCTGGATGGCAGGTCTGGCTTACCAGGTTGATCTCTGGATGTGACATAGACCCAGCCCCCACTTTCTTCTGCTTCAACACACCGTACCACGCACTCGACACAGATATAACGTACCAGCAAATGGTGCGCACGATGCCCACAATGAATTCTACATCTGCCAGCGCCGTGTTTGGCCGGCGGGCGCCGGAAGGCCGAGATTTGAGGGAGGGGTTGCGGTGGACAAGCCATTGCACAATCAAAAGCAGGAAGCGAGGAGTCGCACATAGGGCGATGAGAATCTGGAAGGGGGCGCGTGTTGGGACGTGGTCGCCAATCCTGCGAGCAGATCAATATGTGTTGCGGGAACCCTCGCGCACACACCTCCAGGAGGTACTCACGTTGCAGATACCGAGGGGAACCATTCCACAGGCCAGCCTTGAAACTGATCAGTCATGCAGACCGGAATAGGACACAGGTATACCCACGAGCAACCGAGTTGGCACAAAGTTTCTTCCAGAGCCCAGCGGCCCAGCCAAGGAAGAGGGCGGTCGCGAACGCCAAGGCGGCTGTGAAAGTATGGGCATGGGTGACCCATTTTGCTGGGAATTCGAGGAGGACCGTCATGCTGGGGGTTCCACGCTCGGCGAGTGTTGGCGGGTGCCGACTGTTTTTGCGGGATGCAGGAGAGGAAATGGCTTGCTGTCCTCTTCCTATGCGTTATGACATCCAGCGGCGGTGATCGCCGTGCCGCACATGAAGGTCGTCTTCGGAAGCCGGAACGATTCTGCCAAGTACCTAGTACGTCAAACAGTCGTTCAGTTCAGTCATTTCGCATCGCATGGCGTGCACAAGAGCTGGATATCAGGTATACATGAAGACTCCCCCGAAGGTTCATACGTTCAGGACGCGATCGGAGCTCTGTGCAGGGCGACTTTCCCTCGACACCACCACGTCTGCCTACGAAACGACAATCAAGTACTGGTCTGCTAGGCCCGCCCGGGGCACCCATCCGCGTCGTGTGGGCTATAAAAGACAAAGGTGACGATATCGGGGCTCTCCAGCTCATATGTACAAGTCGAACTCGAGCGACTACTTAGTCTCAAGCAGCGTCCGTGCTTGAGGGATGAAGGGTGAAGACTGCAGGCAGCGCCTGCCCAAATCAAATGGTAGCAGCAGACAATCTCCCAATGTCTTGTCCACTGCTGGGCCGTGAGATTTGCCTGGACAGCCACAGAGGGTCCCTTCGCAATGTAGTTCCATGCAAAAGGTTCAGGCGTGGCGATGGCGTGGGTCGGAATACATGGGGACCTCCTGTGCTGTTCTTGATGCAAGACATGCCTCCTGCTGTGACTCTGACAGCATCCCCGAAATGGGAGAAAAGAGAAAAAAGGCGTGGGGAATCGGTGTTGGCGGTGGCAGATGCCGGTGAGAGGAACGATGGTCGCGGCGGGCCCAACGGTGGCGCCCTCGCCGCTGCCGGCGTCGTCGCCACTATCCTCACACCGTGCGCTATACTCGCATCCCCCATCTCCACCCCTCCCAGCCCACCCCTGCCCCCCTGCACACCTCCCGTCGACATCTCCCAACCACACCCACGAACGAGAAACGACCCACGCGACGGCGCCCTCGCTCGCCCCAGCCTCGAAAAACTGTTGGCTTGCAGCTAGATCCCCATAGTCGACAAGCCGCTCAGAAAACGGGGCCCACTAGTCGCTGCCTCCTTGAGAGCCGTACCACCGGTGAGTAATGTGCTGCTGAGTGTGATGCTTGTGATGCTGGTGGCGAGGTCGATGATGGGAGGAAGAAAGGCTTGGTGAGGCTGGGCCGTAGGGGCCCGAGGCAGGGATGATGCTGTTCTCGACGACTTGCAGGGCTGTCCTGCATACCTTGAGGGTTACCGAGATGGAAAGCAAAAGGCAAAAAGAGATACAAAGCCACCCGTAAACTCTACCATCTCATCTGTAGTGGACCGAGAGCGTCGCGTCCATTCTTTTGTTTTTCAACATCCATCATTCTTCTGTGCAACTTCCTTATGGTATAGTACGCTGACATTCTCCAGCCCATCCCCAACCCGAAATTCAGAACAGGGCCATGGACCCCTCAGCCCTGCACTCCGCGACCCCCCTGGCCAATCAGCAGCACCTCCCCGCATCCATGCTGTCCTCTTACGGCCAAAATGGCATTGACGATGACGACGATACGGCTTCCCAATCATCAGGGCAGAGCCCAGTGGTGAGCATCGATTTGTTTCGATACGTCCAACCGCTCACGCGACCTCACAGGCCTCATCCAAACCATCTTCATCTGCCCCCAAGATTACCATCAAAGTCCCTCAGAAACCTCTTGCCAACGTTGCTTTCGACTCGGACTTGGAGTCTCTCACCCCAGAGCCTGAAGAGGTATCTGTGACACCACGGGTAATGAGTGTGGACGAAGAAAGTGAAGGAGAAGGCGAGCCGGAAAGGGATGACTTTGACTACGGAGAGGATGACGATGATGAAGATGAGGATGAGGATGATGTGATGGATGAAGCCGACTATGGGGACTTTGACGACGATGACGATGACCCGAGTTTCGGCGAAAGCAAGAAAAAGTCCAAGAAGCCCAGAGCAAAGGTGGTGAAGGAGAAGCCTCTGAAGCAGAGGAAATGTGAGTCATTCATCCACAGGCGCAGGCTGCAAGCTGATGTGTTTGTAGCCAGTGGTGCGTTCCCCATGCGCAAACAGCAAGCGGACGAGTCCTCGGATGAAGACTATGGCTCCAAAGCCCACAAGAAGAAAAATTTTGCCAAGAAACTCAAGAGGGACTCTTCGAACACGCCATACTCGGAGTCTGATGCCTGGCGAAGGGGTGCGGCCAAAAAGATCGTCACCTACAACGAAGCGGATGTGGATTATGGATTGGAGAGCGAAGACGAGGCTGCTGCTGCTTATTATAGCGTGGCTCCCGAGCTACAAGGTGGGCAATATCGATTGCCGGTGTGGTATATGCTGACGTTTTATCAGGGGATCCAGCAGACGAAATAGATCAAGTGCTGTATCACTGGCGAGACGATGCCCACCTGAGCGATCCCAAGGACATTCCGCAGGTCAACCTGGCAAGTACACCGTATCTCACTTGACCGTCTACTAAACAAATAACAGCGTTTCCACATCAAATGGAAAGACTACTCTCACATCCACAATACCGACGAAACTTATGTCTTTCTCAAAACTTACAAAGGTTTCAAAAAGGTCGAAAACTATATCAACAAAGTATGGACGATAGACCAAAAGTTCCACAACCCTGATCCCGATGCGTCATGGAAACCCTCGAGGGAGGAAATGGAACAGTACGAAATTGACAAGGAGAGGATCAGAGAATCGTACGAGAGCTACAAGATTGTGGAGAGAGTGCTGGATGAGAAAGAAGAGAGGAGGCCGGAGGGGAGAGTGACCTCGTTTTTCATCAAGTGGACTAGTACGTGTCTTCAAGAGAGTCTTGTATACGTGCTGACATGTCTGCAGACCTCCAGTACAGTGACTGTACCTGGGAAAGTGAGTGGCAGTCCAAGTAAGCACGAGTTGGCTGACGTCGTGCAGCTTTCGAAGAACTCATGGAGTGCACCGGCGCTCAAGCAGGAGTGGACGAGTTCCACCAGCGCCAGGCTCGCCCTACAACGTGTGGAAAATCCATCAACTATGGCGTCAATGATCGCCCTACTTATGTCAAAATTCAAGAGAACCCACCATATCTTTCCACTGGTGGCTCTCTGAAACCTTTCCAGTTGACAGGGTTGAATTGGCTGGCTTATGTCTGGAGCAAAGGGGAGAATGGCATTCTTGCTGACGAGGTGAGTCAACATCTCTACAAGATATACTATGCTGCTGACATCCGCCAAGATGGGTCTGGGTAAGACTGTTCAATCAGTAGCCTTTCTCTCATGGCTCTACCACGCGCAGCAGCAATATGGCCCCTTCCTTGTCGTCGTTCCTCTGTCTACGATCTCCGCCTGGCAGATGCAATTCCGGGTCTGGGCGCCCGACATGAACGTCATTTGCTACATGGGCTCCGCTCGCTCGCGAGAAGTCATCAGGCAATTTGAATTTGGACCGTTGAAGAACCTCAAGTTCAACGTGCTCCTGACGACATACGAGTTCATCTTGAAAGATCGACAGGACCTGCAACAGATCAAGTGGCAGTGCTTGGCAGTTGATGAAGTGAGTTTTGAGGTCATCCATGCAATGCAGCCTTTGACAAGTTTTCTTAGGCGCACCGACTCAAAAACCACGAGTCTATGCTCTACGAAGCTCTAAAGAGCTTCTCGACCGCTTCCAGACTCTTAATCACCGGTACTCCCCTTCAGAACAATGTCAAAGAGCTCTTGGCCCTGATGCATTTCCTCATGCCCGAGAAGTGTAAGTCCACCTACCTCTGCAGACGACGGAAACGTGCTGAGTCGGTGTAGTCCAACTGGCCAATGATTTCGATCTCAGTGACGCGAGCGAAGACCAAGGTGCCAAGATCAAAGATCTTCATGAGAAACTTGGTACTTTGATGTTGCGACGGTTGAAGAAAGACGTCGTAAAGGAGCTTCCCACAAAGTCGGAGAAAATTCTGCGTGTCGAAATGTCTGCAATGCAGACGCATTACTACAAGAGTAAGTTGCATGCTTCCTTCAATCTCAGGGGCTCATGTTTGATCTAGACATCCTCACAAAGAACTTCGCCGTTTTGAGCAAGGGCGGTACCCAACAAGTCAGTTTGATGAACGTTGCGATGGAGCTCAAGAAGGCCTCGTGAGTGCATCTCCTTCGTCTTCCGAAGAGGCTGACATATATATTTAGAAACCACCCGTATCTCTTTGAAGGTGCTGAAGACCGCAACAAACCCGCTAACGAGGTCTTGCGCGGTTTGATATCCAACTCTGGTAAAATGGTCTGCCTCGACATGCTTCTTACCCGTCTTAAAGCCGACGGTCATCGTGTCCTCATCTTCTCCCAGATGGTGCGACTTCTCGACATCATGTCCGACTACATGGCGGCCAGAGGATTCGTCTATCAACGGCTGGATGGCACAGTGCCGTCCGATGTGCGAAAGAAGTCAATAGAGCATTTCAATGCTCCCAACTCGCCGGACTTTGCCTTCTTGCTTTCCACGCGTGCAGGCGGTCTGGGTATCAATTTGGAAACTGCCGATACCGTCATCATCTTTGACGTGAGTCCCCCACAAAGCCAGTCAGGTACAAATCTGACCACGTATAGTCTGATTACAATCCCCAAAATGATCTGCAGGCCATGGCTCGTGCTCACCGTATCGGGCAGCAGAGACATGTCAACATCTTCCGATTGGTGACCAAGGGCACCATCGAAGAGGATATTCTGGAGCGTGCCAAGAGAAAGATGTTGCTGGAGTATGCGAGTAAGTTGATACATGTCTATAATTGCGTCCACGCTGACAATATCACCAGTTATCAACCGTATGGACACCACTGGTGCTCACATCAACGGTACAGCTACTCCTAAGGACAAAAACGGCGACCTCTCCAAGGAGGAGCTGTCAGCCATACTCAAATTCGGTGCTCAAAACATGTTCAAGACCGACATCAACGCTCAAAACAAGAAATTAGACGAAATGAATCTGGAC